ACCTCCCGGTCGCTGACTGTCACTGGACTAACACTCGTTCGTTGATAGTCTCCCGACCACCGCCTATTCGCTGATCCCCTCCGGACCTATGCCCGACCGCTTACCATCGCCAAACCTCCACCTGGGCGCCTATCACTATCGGGCCTCCACCCAACTACCATCGGCAAAATACTCCAACCACCAACTACAGTCCCTCTGACAACCATCGCCCTTCGACTACGGTCTCTCTGACCATCATCACCGTCCGTCCAACTACGGCCCCTCCGACCATCGTCACTCGCCGATTGCAGACCCTCTAACCATTGTTGCTCGCAAACTAAGATCCCTCCAACCACTGTCGCCCATAGACTACGGTCCCTCTAACTAACATCGCACACTGACTACAGTCCCTCCTACCTTCGTCGCTAGCCTACTATTGTCTTTCTGACCTCCGTCCCTTGCTGATTACGATCATTCCCACCACTGTTGCCAGTCTATTAAGGTTCCTTCGACTTTTGTCACCCGTCAACTATGGTTCTTCCAATCACCGCCTCCCGCCTACTACAGTCCATCCTACGTCTGCCACCGGTTGACTATGATCCCTTCGACAACCATCGTCCACCAACTGCAATCCCTCCAACCTCCGTCGCCCACCAACTACAGAACCTCCGATCTCCTTCGCTAGTTGATTGAAGGTTGTATTCTTAGGTGTTTTACTTTGTCATGCTCAATGGTCAATATAAGATTTATTCATTTCTACCAATGGCTTATATAAGATTGTCCTCTCTCTCCTTACCACTTATGCATTATCATATTATCATGGACTCTTTTTATCTTAGACATGAATCATGCTCCATCAGAGCCTCATTCTTGACATGTTCTCTAAATTGTGAATGCGATGGAGAGCTTCACATGGATGGTCTAAAGGTTACTGATATGTCTCCAAAAATTATCTTGATCGGGCACAAATCTTGAGGCATAATCAAGTTGGAAACTTCGAAAATTAAATCAGAGACCATGCAAACTCCAATTTAAACAAACTTATAATCAAACTGACTGTGTCGAGAAGACGAGCCCAACGACACCAAATTATCTTGACTTAATTTGGACCTGTCAAGTCAAGATTTGTGCCCGATCTCCATCGTTTGCAAACTATGGTCCTTCGGACCTCCGTCGTCTGCCGACTACATTCCTCGCCGACTATGGTCCTCCCTACCTTCGTCGCCTGCTAACTATGGTCCCCTCGACCTTCGTTGCCCACCGACTACGATCCTCCTGACCTTCGTCGCCCGTCGACTACGATCCTTCTGACCTCCATTGTTTGCCGACAACAGTCCTTCCGACCTCCGTCACCCGGTGACTACGATCCTCCCAACCTCCGTCGTAATACAACGATCCTTTTGACCTATGTCACTCACAGACTACGATCCTTCCGACCTCCGTCACCCGCCGAATATGGTTCTTCCGATCTACATCGCTCGTCGACTATGATTTTGCCACCTCAAACATACATATCAACATTGATTCTTCCAACTTCCACCATGCAATGCATTTTATATGATGTATATTTGTTACTTCGAGCCAAGGCCTTCCTCCTAAGGATGGGCCTCATTTGTAATCAATTGCAAGCACTAGTGGATTCATTCAAACTGGGCCAAGCCCCGTGGTATTTCCCCCTTTTTAGAGGTTTCCATATAAAAACTCTGGTGTCTCTTATGAACACTACACCCTCATCTCTTTCATCTGCTTGTGTTCTGGATCTTTGTACAAAGCTAAGGCATTAATCTTTATATTTCTCTACCGCCGTTAATTTTCCAGGACGCAACAGTTACCAATGTCACCTTGCCCCTAAAACTGGCTATATATGCTCATTTATTCTCTTTTGCTTGCCACTCTAACAAGCTCTCCACTGCAAGCTTGGCTTCTTTATCGAAGGTGATGATGCCAAAAGTTTTTTTTTAACCAGTACTTATAAAAGATTATTCTATGCAGACACCGGACACAGTTTATCGTGCAAAGACAAATCAAGTGCAGCCACGTCATCCAGTACCGAGCTCAGTACTAAGCAGTACCGAGCTCAATACTGAACAGTACCGAGCCGCGATACATAGTAGGTGGTGACGTGGCGCATTTTCATTGGGCTCTAGATAACATTCGGTGTCCTCACAGAATAATTTTCCCCACTTTAGGGGCAAATATTGCTTCTTTTTCAGGGTGGACAAAATTTTAATTAATTAGATGAAAACATTAACAATAATTAAAATAAATTAAAATTAATAATAATAATAATAATATCAAATAGTAATAATAATAAATTAAAATGTTTAAAAAAATTTAACCAACATAATGCTATCAAATTTATAAGAGAAAATTTTCAGAACTTCAGATGGATGGACAAACAATGCGATATGGGTCATATTAGGGCAAAATTTTATTTTTTAGGTGGGTCAGAATTTCAAAATTATCTATCTTACATTAACTTTTTTTTTTTTAGGATGGGCATTCACATATGAGGGGATCCCGCCCATGCCAATTATTAACTACAATCTTTATCAAGAGCTTTAACTCAAATATTTACTCTTTAGCCTATCCTAAGTCCTTTTTCACAACCTCATTTCACCTTTTTTTTTATGGGGCTACCTATTAATTAAAAATAATATTTAATCCAAAAAAAAAAACTTAAACATCGATTGAGATTGCAAGTCCTCTTCTTCTAATCACCTCAACAAATCAATTATTTATTAATGAATACTCTTTCTTGTTTAATTAAATTTTTGTTCTCAACACAATATTATTATGAATTCAATTTATGTTCTAAACACAATTTCATTCTTCAAGCTATAAAAAAAAATTAGAGAGTGATTATCTCTTATCCTTTTCTCTTGTAGAGCTTAGAATCACCCTTCTATAATTAAGATAAGTTCAAATCTTCTTAATTTGGACACTTCTTTTTACAAAACACATTTTTTTTATAATAGACACACTTATTCATAAAACAACTTTTTTTATATTTAAAAACATATCTATTCATGAAACATCTTTTAGTATTAAATGACATCTTTATCTTTATAAACAAAATGTGTTTTTATAATATAAATGTGTTATAAATGCAATCATAATTTTACCATTTATATTATGTCACATTTTTTTTACAATAGTGTTCAATTAATTATAATAATTACGAGTTAAAAATATTATAGTACTAAGGTGACTAAAAAAGGACATATTAACCTATAATTCAATCTCCAATAAATATGATCATTAATTTAATTCTTCAATTAATAAATAAATATTATTAATATCAAAGTTATTCCACTATAAATATGAAATTACACTCATGAACTTATAGTATAATTTAATCAATTTAAAGTATAAGTTTTTCATTGATATAATCATTATATATAAAATAATCCTCTATAAAAAGTTCATAATTAGAGCTAGTAATTATGTTTATGTCACCTCTCGAATTATATTTTTAGTCTTGAATTTCAATTAATTATTTAATGAACAATAAAATTTGTGGCCTAATCATAAAATTTGAGCGTTCTATTATTAAAATTCTGAGTTAATTATTCAAAAGAACTTATTTTTCTACTTTTAAAATTTAAAGAAATGGATTTCATATCTATTTATTAATATTCTCAATCATTTGTTTCAATGTGTTTCTAAGATATAAGTTTTGAATTTATATCTTTCAAACTATTTTAGAATAAGTCAAGAAATCAAATGTCACAAATGTGAGTTTATTAATAGCTCAAGATTAAGATTATTTTATATATGATCATCTTTATTATAAATTTTTAAATCCCACTTTTTAAAATATAGATAATTCAAAATTTATCTAATCAAATCTTATATAATCATATTATATAAAGTAACAATATCTTTAAAATATCCATATTGAATAATCCAAATAAGACTTTCATTCTTAATATTAATGGAACATACTAATAAAACTTAATTACAAATTTCAGCTATAATTAATAAATATAGACTACCTAGATTATTATCCATAATTCGATACACTTATATAAATTATATATTGAATTATGATGGCATAAAATAATCATGAATTAAAATATAATAACAAAATATTATATTAAATAATAATATTTGTAGATTCTAAATTTATCTTTAAATATTTATTTAAATAAAAAATATATTATAGTAATAATATTACTTTAAGGCACACTCCCTAGTATTACCTTAGATCCATTTTTTTCTCAAATCATCCTTTTGATCTTATCCATCAGCAACTTAGACAAAGATAAAGCATCCTTGACATAACCCACCTCCTTCTTATGGTTCAGAGCATCCTTCAAATTGGGCAAAACATTTATCATAATGCCCTAATGGGAAATTATCTTCATCAGCTTCTTTGTGCTAGCCCGTAACTTAAAAAAAAAAACTATCAACTATGATCATCTCCAACTGTTCGGCAAACAACCGAATGGAGGCCCTCAAACGTCACAACCGAACGCCATTTTTTCCGCTATTTGATTGCAGTTGAACAGTGCAATGCCAATATTCGCGTCGCACTGTTCACTTTCGTCATTTCTTTCTCTCTACTGAAACTCGTCTGAGAAATACACGAAAGAAAAGAGAGATGATTTGGAGGCAAAATGACGTTCCCTGGAGATGAATCACGGCACTTTTTGATTTTACTGTATTTTACAGTGAATAATAATAATTTCGGTTGGAGATGCCCTAACAAACTAAGAAACTAAGATGACCTGTGTAATTAAATAGAGATTTGATGTTACATTAAAAAAAAAATCTCAATTTGACACGCGCGCTATATTGAATAGTTCTACACAGCCTCCGGAACAGAAAAACTAAGCTGAGCCGGCGACGGGCCCACGTCGCGAGGGCCAGGGTTGGATCGGTGCCGTCCGAAGGTGTGAGGTGGAGACGCGGTAAGCTGCACCTGGGGAGCAGGAAAGAGAAAAGAACCCTAGAAGACGCGCGATTTCTCGGGAAGAAAGCGATTTCGCATGGACAGTGTAGCGATTTCGCAGGGACTGCAGAAAACAGGAGAGGGATAAGCTCACTTCTTTTTCGTGCGTTAAAGGTTGAGTGTCCTTTTGGGTTTTTTTTTTTTCACCTCTCTCTCTCTCTCTCTCTCCTACAATTCTCACTCCCTCGAATTTCGCTACGTTTCTTCCAACGAGGCGGCAGAATCTCGGTGCACCGGCGGGAATGGCTGCGTTACGACGTTTCTGAGATTGAATTCCGCGATGGAAGCGGAATAGCGGCGGAGTTGGGGGAATACGGGCAGCACGTGTTGCTTATGCCATGTGATTTGGTGATCAGGAAAGATCTTTCTGTCGGGATTCCGGGCGCGGTGTTTTAGGGATTCGATTGCGGGATTTCGAAGTTGCTTGATCTGGAAATCTCGTTTGTGGAATTTGTGTGGCTAAACATTAGTTCCTGACGCAAACGTAGGGGTTTTCTGCTTTTTTCTTTTCAAATTACGCTGGCTGGAGCATGGGGGATGGATGGGAATGGATCCTGAGTCCTTTTTTTTTGTAGATTTGTGGTACTCTAGGCGAATTGCTGAATCATGCTCGTTTCCGTCGATCTTCTGAGATTTTCACTTTTGAAGTCTCCGCCTGGTGAATTATGCTTCCTTTTTGCCAGTAGTTTTGGGCCTCTTCTGGACGCGAGAGTCTGCTTTTGAGCCCTAATTTTGGTTAGGCACGGAAGATAGATCGACTTTCGTCTCCGCAGCAGGGAGGGCGGCGCGCGTTGCTGAGGTATTTACTTTTTGCGTCAGTAAAGAGCAGCGATTGGTCGCATGGACAAGGGATAGGCAATAGGCAGTAGCAGGCAAATTTTGATGCTTCGCTTTTCCCGAAATGGTAGATGTTTATTTTGGGTTCTGCGATGACTAGTAGGTGGTGGCGTCTGGAGTTTCTTCGCAGTTAATACTGTTTGTGAGTAACTATTGATTTAAAGGGTAAGCCTCCTCCTTATGTACAGTTTCTCTTAATTCATGGAGTGAAAACTTCGTGGGTTATAAAATGGGATAACCAAGCTCGAGAAATCTGCTATATATGTTTCTTCTTTATCTTTGAATTCTGGCTCAGATTATTGAACTATTGAAAGGGATTCTAGGGAAATCTCATGGCGCTTCCTTCAAATCCCTCTGGCCGTGGGGTGCCTGGTTCAGGTTGGTGAACCAAAACCATATTTGATTTGATGTTTTTCCACCTGTCGACCACTCTCTTAATTTTCTGTTATTGTTTCTGTGGTTAGCTTTCTAAGGGAATCCAAAATTGATTCCGGAATAATTTTGTTGTAGCATTCATTTGTGTGATATTTGGTTTTATTGGCTTCGGAATATGGTAATATGGCGTGCTAATGCCTCTGCGCCACTTCTCTTTTGGGCAGCTTTCTGTGGGAATCTCTTGTACAAAGAACTCTGGCATGCTTGTGCAGGGCCTTTGGTTACAGTGCCTCGTCAAGGAGAGCGAGTCTATTACTTTCCTCAAGGTCATATGGAACAGGTATTGAGGCTTTTTAATTTATGTCTTGGCCTCATTATAAAGACGCATACTTTTCTTTTATATTTTTCTTTGTGTTCCTGCTTTCTTTTCTCTAGAGTTAGATTTTATTTGGGACGGATTTTTTATTACTTATTAAAACAGTTTTTTAGCATAAAAATTAAATTTTTTTTGTGCTAGCAAACTGCTTTAAGAATCACTAAGAAGCCGTCCCAAACGACTTTTAGTTTCAGAACCTTTTGTTAATTTGGCATAGTTTGAAGTTGCTCGTGCGGGATGGAATCATGGATGATATTGAAGTTGCTATTTGGGATACAATTCTAATTGTACAAGTTTCATGAACATGTTAGAGCTATTTTCTGTACCTCTAAATATATCTTTCCGTACACGTTTTGTTCTTTCTGTAGCTTGAAGCATCCACACAGCAGGGACTTGACCATCAAATGCCGTTGTTTGACCTTCCTTCAAAAATCCTATGCAGAGTAGTTAATGTTGAACTTCGAGTAAGCTCTCTTCTTCTTCTTTTATGTTTTGATATCATTTCTGGTTATCGGAATGGAGTTTTCAGACCTTTTTTGCTTCTATAGCGTAGTAGAATAGATCCATATTTGTCACAGTTTATCTGAGTTCTCTTTGATTTCGCTATCTTGCAGGCTGAGTCTGATACTGATGAAGTGTATGCACAGATTACTCTGCAACCTGAAACTGATGTTAGTATTTGTTCTAGACTTCTAGAGCGCTCAGGCAAAAATGCTTTAATGAATTTCTGCATCCTTAAATTTTTTTTTTTTCAGAAATAGTATTTTGGTATTGTATCCTACTTGGTATGTACTTAAAATTCGTTTTCGCTTGACTTTTCAAAAGCAATTTTGATTTATAGGGGATATAGAAAATTACCATTTTATCTTTGCACCTTTGCAAGATGGCGTAAGAATGTGAATCAGCTGTCATTTTCATATGAGAAATGATTTTATTTCTTACTGCACCTATAATAATACAACATCAATACATCATTAACTTAGCTGTATCAAGCAAAGCCATGGCAAATGCATGCATATTAATCTGCGTGTCAATTGTGCCATATCTGGCTGTTATTCCTTTGTGAATTGAGGCTTCAATCTGGGTGGTGTTTATTGTTATGAGTTTTTTTATTTTTTTTTATTTTTTGATCCCTCAAATGACTTGTTTTCTAGTTGCCTCGTTTCGGTTCTTTTGGTTTTTTTTTTTTCCTCTTTGATTTTCCAGCAAAGTGAAGTCACCAGTCCAGACCCTCTGCTTCCCGAACCTGAAAGGTCTACATTTCACTCCTTTTGTAAAACACTTACTGCTTCAGACACGAGCACTCATGGAGGATTCTCAGTTCTTAGGAGACATGCAGAGGAATGCTTGCCACCATTGGTGAGTATTAGATCAATTTATCTTGATTTGTTCTGACCATGTAGTTTGGGGAGAAATTTTGGAACAAGTTATTTTAGCTAAAATTTGATCATGAATTCATGATTACTTTTAAGAGTCATAGATTTGTTTCAAGATGTCCTCACCGAAAATATTTTCATAGTATTCACCATGATATTTCTCTCACAATGTTCTTTTATTTAGTTATTGCATTATTCTATATTTCTACAGGATATGTCACAGCATCCACCATGGCAGGAGTTGGTTGCCAAAGATCTTCATGACAATGAATGGCATTTCCGTCATATTTTTCGAGGTTTATGTTTTTATGTTTTGTGTCATTGTAGGATTTTTCTTTATGTTGTACCATGAACATGAACTCTATTAGTATAGTTTTGGAATATTTAAAGATATAGAGTTTGGAAATTTGTCCTCTTCTTCTAAAAAATCTTTTTTGGACATTGAACATTGGTTTTTGAATGTTCATATTGAAAATTTCATTTGATTTTGATTGTTTTGTTTGACAAAAGTAGCATACAGCATGTTTATTTCAAATTTGCTGTTAAGGTATTAGAGCAATCATGATGATTTGTTTTGAAAATTTTGGAAAATCTCATAGGTAGCATTGATATTTGAGCATACAAAATTGCAGAGTTCTCATAATTTCATCTGCATTTCTTGTAGGTCAACCGAGGAGGCATCTTCTGACTACTGGTTGGAGCATATTTGTTAGCTCAAAGAGATTAGTAGCTGGTGATGCATTTATTTTTCTAAGGTAAAAAAAGGTTATTCTTTGATTTTAATATGACATTTTGTATCTACTCTTCTTCAGAAGAATGTTTTTATATAGGTTTTGGAGGCTATTTTTGCAACTTTTTTATAAATGACGTCCTCATCTTTGTGACAGAGGTGACAATGGTGAACTGGGAGTTGGTGTAAGGCGGCTTATGAGGCAACCAAACAATATGCCATCATCTGTCATTTCCAGTCATAGCATGCATCTTGGAGTGCTAGCAACTGCATCTCACGCTGTTTCCACTGGAGCTCTTTTTTCTGTGTTCTACAAACCAAGGTTTATTATTTTTATCTCTTTGACTTCATTTGGGACTACTTTCTTGTTGCTTTTTAAAGCAGCTTTTATATTAAAAAGCTGCTTTAAGAAGCAACAAAAAAATTGTCCCAAACGAAGCCTTTGTTCCATGAATCTATTATATGAAAAAATGTAGCAGTCAGCAATCCACTAAATCTTTCATTTATTTTTTTACTTTCCCATGGAATAAACTTCGGTGTTTACCACATACATATTACTCTTTTTGTTTCCTTATTGTAATGACAATGGAGGTTGTTATTGATTCTGTGTTTGATGCTCAGCAAACTTCACCTAATCCAGTTAACATTCATATTATTTATTATGAATTTTATAAAATATGGTAAATTTACTCGTTCAGCTTAAAGTAAATTTTCAACTGCTGGTTAAGTTCTCGTGGTTCCTTTTGTTTTCTATGCATTTCATAAATTTTTTAACTGTAAAAATTGTTATAATATGCTATTCTATGCTATAAATTGGCTTTAATGGATGTGCAAGATTTCAACTAGTTTTATAACTGATCTTTACATATCTTCAGTTAAATATTTGTTTTGGCTCACAATGCATGTCTTGTTTCCTTTGATGTTGAATTACTTGGTTACCAGCATATAATTATTGTCCTTGCTTTGTATTTTTTTTTTTCGTCAACTTTATTTGATGCTTCTTCTGAAACTTTTTTACATAACATTTGAATTGAATATTTGTTGGTCCAGAGCTAGCTGTTCTGAGTTCATCATAAGCGTCAATAAATATTTGGAAGCAAGAAGTCAAATTCTATCTGTTGGGATGAGGTTTAAGATGAGATTTGAAGGTGACGAAGCTCCTGAACGGAGGTATAAGGATTGGCTTGAACGGAATGTGCTAAAGTTTATGTCACTTCGTTCTTTTTAATGTTAATTTACTTTTACTACGTTTCTTATTATATAAATAACTTGTTTTCCCCTCCCCTTCCTGGTAAACAGGTTTAGCGGTACTATTATTGGCGTAGCTGACAAGGCTTCATCTAGATGGTCAGATTCAGAGTGGAGATCACTAAAGGTTATTCATCCATTATCAAAAGTTCAAGTTTAGAAACTAGAAAAGCCAATGTTCAACTACCCATATCTACCTTTCTTGGGATAGATGCCTGCATGTGCTTTTCGGAAGTAGGCTAGTTTACTAGTGTAAATGAGGCTTCGTTTGGGACGGCTTTTTCCTTCTTAAAGTGATTTTCTAGTACAAAAATTAAAATGTTGATATTAGAAAGCCGTTTTAAGAAGCAGTAAAAAAGCCGTCCCAAATGAAGCGTGAGACTTGGGTTAGCAAATATGTTCTGAAGGCTTTTGTTGTTTTCCATGCCTCTAATTACATGGATTTCTTCTTTTCCACTTGACCTTTATTGAAATTCACAGCTGGTGCTATAGTGCAGGTCCAGTGGGATGAACCTTCCTCTATTCCACGACCAGACTGGGTTTCTCCATGGGAATTAGAGCCTCTAGTCGTATCTACTTCTCCCACTTCTCAGCAACCAGTCAGAAATAAACGGGCTCGTCCACCTGTCTCAACTTCAGCTGCACCAGAACTTCCTTCTTTGTATGGTACGGCTTCTCTTTCAACGGTTTGCGTAGATAACTGCATTATTATGATTACTATAGGGTGCGCCAGCATTTTTTGGGGTTTTCTCTCTCCATCAGTTTGTGTCTAAATGGGATGGACTTCTCTCTCACCAGGAGAAGAATGTCAATTGTCCCATCTAATAAGTATCCACATTTGGACTTCAAATGTTTGATCAAGCATATTTATCATGTTTAATGTGATTATAGTTTTAATGTGAATAATAGCCATACTTTGATTGTTATTTAATAATTTGCTCCATGATTATGACCAATGAAACTCAAGATTTCACGAATTTTCTACAGGAATGTTAAGAAATTTGTGATATTCAAATGTTAGTAAATTACAAATGACTAGGAATTTTGTGCCTGATTTCTTCATTGTATTTTTAACATATTCAATCGTTTTCATTGTTGAAATTTATTGGTTAAAGTATGTAAGACTTGGTGGCTTCTATATGCCATTTTCTTCACCTGTTTGATGAAGTTATGCTCCCTGTCGTTGCTTCCTTCTATCATGTTCCTGTATTTTTTCTACCTCTATTCTTTTCTTCCTTATGATTAGCTGTTATCTATTAAAAGGATATCCTCCGCATGCTTATTTGATTCTTTGTAAACCCTTAATAGATAAGAGTATGCATCATATGAATAATGTGCAAAAGTTAACATTATCGTTATTCACCTAAGTAATCTAAAATTAGCTATGATCTCTTATTCCTTTTGAGCAACAAAAACCTTTATTGGGACGACCATGGTATTTTTATGCGACCCTATGATGTTATCAACCATTGTTTGTCACAATACAACTATGGGAAACCAATCATTTCAATGGTGGTTTCAGATTTTTTGTTGCAGCTAAAACTCAATATCGAGTTTTTAGTTATCAGCTAGTTGATAAAATTGTTTGGCTGATTTATTGAAGTACTAAATGCTATATTACAAATTGGGCAAGCCAATCTTATTAGTTTCTGTTGTATTTGGCAAGCTCAAAATTCTGACATGCATTTTTGTCATATCAGGTCTCTGGAAATCTCAGCCTGAGGCCAATCAAACATTCTTATATTCAGGTTCTCACCGAGGGCATGAACCGTATGCTTCTTCGAGCTCTTTTCCTCTCTTCCCGCAGACACCAAAGCCTGGACGTGGACTTCTGGCAGCCAATAACTCCAACCTGTTGTCAATAAGGCCAGACCCTCAGTCAGCACCATCGGAAAGGAAGTTGGAGGCCAGTGGTGGATGCATGCTCTTTGGAATCCAATTGGTTGAAGCATCTCCCACCATTGAGGAAACCTCTCCATTGACCATTGCTAGTGGCGTTAGAGATGACCATCTAACTATGATCCTCGATACCGACTCCGATCGACAATCCCAGCCCTCCAACATCAATTATTCAGATGCACCTGTGGTTAGCAGTGACCAAAAATCCTGCCTTAGATCACATAGTGAGACCCAAAGTCGGCAAACTCGAAGCTGCACCAAGGTTCTACTAGATGTATTGTCTTTCTGTTGAAGATGACGGGTCTCTATATGGGCAAATTATTAGGTTCGGACACCGGACATAGATATTCATCGGATTTATCTCTGTCTATAGTCAAAGCGCATTTGCTACAGTAATTGTGCTTTGAGTATGCTTTTACTGTAGACAGAGAAATCCGGATGATTTTTTTTGTCCGGTGTCCGAACCTAATAATTCTCCTCGATATGAAACACGTCTCACATGAGAAAAATGTCAGAATGTCCTATTACAAAATTACTCAGAATGAGTATCAAAATTTATAGATTTGTTTTAAAATGAGTAATATGTTAATCTCAAAGTAAAATTCAAGGATTTGAGATTCATATTGGCCAAAATTTTGATCAGATATCTTTTTATCTCACACATTTCCACTGTACTTGTCTTGCATAGGTGCAAATGCAGGGAATAGCTGTAGGAAGGGCAGTTGATTTGACCAAACTGGAGGGTTATGAGGACCTTCTCCAGAAGCTCGAAATAATGTTTAACATCCATGGAGAGCTGATAGGAGACTCTAACAAATGGAAGGTTGCGTACACGGATGATGAGGATGACATCATGATGGTTGGTGATGATCCCTGGCAGTAAGTTTCTTTTTATAAACTATATAATAATTTCCACTTATCAGATCTGCAACAGGCTTGCTAATTTTTTTAAAATGTTCAGTGAATTCTGCTGCATCGTTAGGAAGATATATATATTTGCTCGTGATAAAGCTAAGGGGCTCTCCCCGAAGATCAGGCTTCCAGCCATTGATGAGGTCTCTAAGCCAGTGGTGCTCAGGCAAAAGCAGGGATCGGAGTCAGAGTCTGCCCAAAATGCCTCAGTTTGCTCTGAAGACCACCATGATGAGGACTAAAAGTGAAAGAATAAGACTTCGTTTCGGACGGCTTTTTTACTGCTTCTTAAAACAGCTTTCTAGTACAAAAATTTTAATTTTTGTACAGAAAAGCTGCTTTAAGAAGCAGTAAAAAAGCCTGTCTCAAACGAAATATACCGGTTGATGTCCTCTTGATCCTAGATGTCTCCACCTTTTTGGTTATTACTTCTATAGCGTTTTTATTTGCTGAAAAGCATTTTGTAGAGGAGTTGTGTCGTTAATGATGGGGCATGTAGTGGGAAGCCACGGTTTGTGCCTCTGGGGTTTGTGAGTTGGCCGGCGTTCACTCTCGAATAAGCTTACAGAGGGCAGAAGATTATATACACGTTCCTTTTGTATTTTTCTTTTTTAAATTTTATAGCTTGTTAGATAGATCTGTAGCATGTATTTCCCTTGATATAGGTTTAAGTAAATGAAACATATTAGTAGATGACAAATCAAGTACTGCTGGGCTTCTCATATTTTATTTTATTATTCGATTAGTTTAATTTCAAGAATACTTAATTATTTGTTATAAGGATGTATTATTTCCTTTTGTATTAATTTGGTAGAATTTTAAATAGATATGAAGTTGTGAGTCTACATATGGAACTTGATGTTGTTTTGGAGGCAACTCTGTTATTGTTGTTCTGAATATTATGGATCATGCAAATTGGTTTGTGTTTTTGGCACCCCGTTTGGCATGGGAGAGGGACCCGATCGTGCCGAAAGGCAGGATTGTGATGGTCGATCGTTCAACTTAAGATGCTTTTGGATTTGAGGTGAGGAGATGTGCGAGGGAATAGGGGTGTGTTTCATGAGAATGGAACATGTAGGCTGATAGGAGGTGAATGTCTTCACTTGACACAAGAATGAGAAGATATGAAGATTATGATTCTGTTTGGCAGGGGTGTCAATTACTGACCTGACTCGAAAACCCGACCCAAAAAATTCGGGTTTGTGTCGACCCATTTAACAAATTGGTCGGGTCCGGGTCAACCCGGTAACCCGAAATTGGCCCGAGTTGACCCGTGTAGGCCTCTGACCGTTTTCATTTTTTCTGTGTGGGAGGGAATTGAGGGACGTCAGCGTCAGGCCAGCCGTCCCTGCAACCTGTGTAGTTCCTGCACGGCTGACTCGCAGTGCCTACTACAGCGCGACGCCTAGTCTGCGGGTCGCCTATGACGTCATCCTGCACGCAAGGACCGCACTGGAGGGCCAGCATCGCCTGAGCCGCTATAGTCAAATGGAGTTCGCGTCGTCGCCCGTGCGTGGTCGACTTAGCGACCCCAATCTCTGCCAATTCGCGCGACTTAGCGTGATGTGGCAAGCCCAGGTCCGATGTCGCGCGCACCTTCGTGTCTCCGCCCCAGCTGAAGCCTGAAGGAATGCAAATGTTTAGGTTCGCAGGTCGGGTCGGTTTCAGGTCAATCTGTTTATACTTGGGTCAACTCGGGCCGGACCTGAACCTGACTCGTTGACCCAAATTAACACCCCTATTGTTTGGGATGATTTTCTTGCTGCTTCTTAAAATGGCTTTTTAGTCATTTTTTATTAGAAAGTCGTTTTAAGAAACATGAAGAAAGCTGTTTCAAATGAAGCCTATAATTTTATAGCTTATGTTTATGGTTTAGGTTTTGTTTGGAATCGTTTTTTGACTTTTTTTTTTAAGAAATTTTTGAACTAAAAAGTTGTTATAGAGTTGGAGAAGAATTTGCTATGAAGGGGTGAAATACTATATAAATAGAAGGTTCAATTTGCCCTGCCAATGGAAAATGAAGGGCGAGGGACAGGAGATCGATAATAGGAGCTTTTATTTATGAGTTCAGTCTCAACAATTGCGTCATCTCTCATATACAGGCTTAAGCGACAAGCTTTTATGCAGAGGTGGGCTTCTGACTGTTTACTTGTGGAGACATTATAAATTTCTAATAGTGACATGGATATGAAAGACAGAATACTTTATGGTTGGTGTTGGGTGGAGCGAGCTCTGATTAGATTATTAATGGGTGTTGTGATGTTGAAAAGCATAATGGAAACATCTCAAATTGATTGACACAAAAGTTGGTCGACCAGTTGTTGGAGGCAGCCATTGTTTGTAGAATCAATGTATGTTGTTGATGTTGATAGGAAGATGAAACATTCATTGTTTTTAAAGAGTTGGTCAGTGGGGACATTGAAGTTGTTGCGAGGGAGTTGTTAGCTGTTACTTTTATGAGGTTGACGATGAGGTTTGCTAACCATAATATTGGGATGCTAAAAAGATTGCTTGAGGAACACGGTTGGAAGCTAAGAGCGTTGCTCGATAAAATTTCAACAGGGTTTAGGGTCACGATAAACTTACAAATTTTGGTTGTAAGGACATTTTTTGAATTCAAATGGATAAATAAAATGATGAATTATTTTTACTAGTTATTTGAGGCAATTGCCTAAAGATCATAATAATTTAAAAGTGTTAGGGGGGGGGGGCGCTTAAGGGGGTTGTCCCCTCGTATCAAGGATTTGTAAGTGTTGCATGGAAGGCAACACTCAACAACCAGAAAGTGACGAGTGGTAGAAGTTATGATTTTGGAGTAGGCTTGCAAAGGCAAAGAAGTTCTAGGAATTGGTCTGTGGTTTATCTGTGGAGTATCTTGATTTGATGGGTTAATAGTTGATACAGGTTGTTTTGATTGGTAATTGTTCTTGTTTTTTAACATTACTTCGAATTTATAAGGGTATGCTATTATCCTTTTGACTTCTTCAAAGATTTCAAAGAGAGAAAATAATTATTTTTATGCTTCTTAATGAAGAGGTTGGGGTAGAGCAAGAAAAGTGATTGAGGGAACATCAAAAGTGTTCGTGGAAGAAATGAAAACAACTATATTGATCTATATCATTGAGATGGTGCTGGGAATTATGAACTCCTCACTCATCTATACTTTCATCGATGACGTTTTTTATGCTTCTTAAGAAGCTTTATTTCCTCTATTGAAGGGAGGATAGTTGTTAGGGCTAGAGGTGATAGGAATAAGGGTGTAGCCTATAGGCTTTGTGGCGATAGCTCAACTGCATTTGTTGAAGGTGAATGCAAATAATCATAAGTCTTTTTTTAACATACTTCCTACATAATATAAGGATGTTTGTTATTGAATGTCTTAGGTCATAGTGGGTCGTTAGTTGTTAATGGGTAAATGACGACTTATGAAGTAGGGCTCACAAAATAGACATGTGGTGGCGTCATCTATTGGGCTATCTCAAGAACTCAATTATCCGAGGGGCCAACAAATGTGACATGAAAATGAGAAGGGATTTATGAGATAATCCAAGAGGTTTTTGATTTATGAGTATTTATATTATGATGATTTGTTGATAATAAGCTAGCACAATTATACCTCAAATAAATTCCTAAGGGTCACAAGTTGAGTGCTAAGAAGTTGAGGACTCCAAAGCCAGAGAATATACTATTCTTATAAGACTTCTAAAAAGCGCTTAAGAAAAACTAGTCAACTTCAAACTTGAGAAGTTCATTGGCTATGAAGGATGATAGCCTTTTAAAGTCATTCTACAAACAAGACATCATTGATGATCACTATATCTCATTATTTTTCCTATTTAGAATTATGATGGCTCACAATGAATGTTCAACATAATTTATTAGTGTAGCAAATGTTGTGCCTAGCAAGCCCTGTTTTATAAAGAAAAGTATGATGTAAAGTAGGGGTGTCAATATTTGACTAGACTTGTACCCAAACCAAAAAATGTTGCGTTCAGGTCAACCCGTTTGCCTGTCGGGTCGGGTTCAGATTTCATTTTCTAGCATGTTCATAAACCGGGTCAGTTTTGGGTTGACATAGAAACCCAAAATCAACCTAGATTTGACCTGTAAACCTCACAAGGCCACATTGAGCCACCGATCTATAGTCCGCACTCCGCTCAGGTGCTCCCTTAGCACCGTGCACAACAGTATGTCCATTCACAAGTCCGGTCTAACTCCACGCATCAAGTGTCCCACACCCACGACCATGAGCCTTGTCACACCCGCAACCGCGCGTAGCACGCTTCTACACTCGCATAGCCATGCTACTTGACAACCAGATTTATCGGTATGCCTAGAAAGAAAATTTTTAAGGAATTTGAGATTGTTTTTTTAGCAAACTTTTTGTCTAATGACTTAATAAGGAAGAAAATAATCCATCATTCTTTAGTTCTTCTGTGCATTGCACCCCCCCCCCCCCCCCCTCCAATAACTTTATTAATAAGAGATTTTTTTAAAAAAGTAAATCATATTATATAAGATTGAAAGTGCTAAACCCTAACTCTAAGCCCTAAACTCTAATAATGTGTAGGGTTTTACAAAGTTTGCCTCTGAAACGAGACTAAACCCTCAAAATATCTTTGAAAATGAGATAAAACATCATTGAATTGCATAGGTAATAGAAGTTTATATTTTTAAAGTGATGTTCTAAAGAAGGTAATGAGGAGATATTACTCTCGTGATTTTTGTGATTAAATAAGGAGAAAAATAATTTAGTATTTTTTTTTGTATATCGAACATATTACATGATTCCTCTAAGAATTTTTTTAATGAGAAAATATTTTCAACTGGTAAGGGAAATGATTCCAAAATTATGCCTTTGTTGAGTTTTTCTCTTTATTAAAAATTTTGAGAATTTTTTGTGATTAAGACATTAATAAAAATATTTCAAAAACACTTCATCTAAAAATGTCCCTAAAATTTTAAAATTTGTCTAGAATAATTTTTTATGTAAAGATTATGAAGTGGTTGATGGTTTAAATTATTATATCACATTATTTTTATAGAAAAATTCTTGAATAAAACAAAAGTGATTTTTTAGCATTCTTGGAGTCTTTATAAAGAGGACCCTTGATCTATGTATTCCTATAGGCTTCTAATATTTTTATTCTCAACATTACACAATTATTTTAGATTGTTATTTGTTGTTTTAACCTTAATTATACATTTTAAAGGAGAATATTATAATAGAGAAGGGTTGTGCAATGGTATGTAATTTTATATCATTTAATACCACTAATGATACTCTAGTAGTTGATTTTTAGACTATTTCTTTAATTAGACAAATGGAGTTTTTTAGATTTCAAGTATACATTACGGACTTGAATCTTATCTTAAAAAAAATATACCAATTCCAGAAAAGTATATATACACTTTTTGAATAATATGAAGAGTTTTGTAGCAAATGTTATCTTTGAAAAGATGTCATAACAAAAAAAATGATTGATCTATCTTTTTTTTTTTTTAATTTGAAAATTTCATCAAATAATGACAAAATTTGAAAGAGAGGATATGTTGTTCCTTATCACTATAAGAAGCCGCCAAGCTCGACTAAGAAGATTTTGAAGAATGGTAATTAAAATATAATGTTAAAGGTGATAACCCATTATCCTAAACCCATATATAAGAGTGACTAGGATTTTTAGGACCCACCACTTAAGGGAGAGTAAGGCCTTCAAATGTTTATTAGAATGAGATGAAATCTCTACATATTGCAATAGTAATAGAAGGTCAGGTTTTTTGAGTTAGTTCTTGAAGGCAGAAATGATTTCAAACCATCAGTTGATAAAGTTTTATACTTTTATTACCCTTTATTACATCATACAATTTTATGGCTTATTTGATAATAAGCCACTATAGAAAATTTCTAATGAGAGCCTTGTCTTATATTAGGGTTTCCAAATTGACATGCCCCCTATTTAGACTTTTTAGATAATTAATAATATATCTATCACATATCATTCTAGGGTCCATATATTATTTAGCCATTTCAAGGACATCTAGAAAAAGAATTTCATTTATATTAATGCACTCTTGGGGTTAAGTTGGTGATTGGCTCTCTTGGAGACTTTTGAATGTAAAGGCATTTGCATATAATTTTGATCTCTTAGGGTCTACATTTTGTGGATTCATCCATGTGATTTTTAGATTATGAGCATTTAACTTTTTTTCATGCTCTCTTCGGGTTGTACTAGTGATGGGCCCTTGTACGAACTTTTGAATAAAATGATCATATTTATTTATATTATGCTCTCCTAAAGTCCATATATTATAGGGCTCTCTAGAGAACTTTAATGTAAATAAAAACTCCTATATATTTGTGCCCTCTTAGGGCACATGCATTGGCATACCCTTTGTAGACTTCTAAATAAATAGACATTTAACTACTATAGCACCCTCCTAGGATACATGCAATGATGGCCCTCTTATGAACTTTTAGCAGGTTAAAGCAATTGAGCTTTAGTATGGAGGTCGAATACATCAACTTAGAAATCCCCCAATTGATCGTCTTAGATCCATAGTAAAAGAAGGTGAGACCCAGTAATATTTTGATATGAGATTCTTACATGTGTTTCCTCTTCTTCTTCTTTTTTTGTTAAAAACCTACGGAGAGGCCTACGTGTTAATGAAAATAAAATATTTATAAGACCTTAAGGGATCAAGAGCTCTCTAAAAAATATCATTTGAAATAAAAAACTTAATAAGCATATCATCTAACTAAAACAATGATACAACAAATAAAATGCAAACCCAAAAAGCACACAAAGAAGCCAAAAGCAACCCGACTCAGGAGACAAGAGACTCCTAGAGGAAGAGCATCAACACAGCTTGAGAGACAGAGAAATCTACACAAGCAATAGAACAAAATCCCACAGCCAGGAGAATGCCACCAACAAAAAGCTCCCTCCAACTACAATAGACCAAACCATCCAGATACAGGCAGAGCAAAGGGTCCAAATAGCTAACCGAAGAAACAACCAGCGACATCCAACTATAGCCCCATAAGATCAAAGAAATCACCGAAGACAAATCACCATTAGCAACATAATTTTGAAGGAATTTTAGATATGTTAGGACTTCATAAACCTTAAAGTCTTGCACCATATTTTTATTTTTCTTTATTTTGTTTTTCTTACAAACAACTTTTTCAAAATCATCATTATCAACTTGCGCCATATTCATATCATAGCCATCATGGGAACAAAAACAATCAGCAACATTAGCCTCCCCAGAATCTTTAATAATTGACAAATTGTATGGGATTAACTAGTTCGAGTGGTCAATATGATTCACATTAGAATCAACATTAAAAGATAAAGCAACATAACCACCTATACCATCAAAAGTATCAACAAAAGTGGTCATGTGGTGGGACCCCTGTAGAGACAGAACAACTGCAGCACCATCAATCACATTGAAACTCACAATAGGAGAAGTAGTAGGATAATTAGTAAGGAAATTAGCGACACGAATAGTAGGAACAAATTCCATATTATTGGAAATACCATCATCATCCATAAGGCCTTGAAGACAGGGAGATTCGTTATTCACTATTTGATCCCCACCAACAGGATCAACATCACCTTCTACATTCTTTCCATCTATAGCAGGGGCTACTTCAACATTAGGAATCACATTGCTCTCAAGTATAACATCGGTCGTAAGAAATAAGGTAGGAGTTTCGATAGGAAAATCGTCTCTTTGGGCAGCAGAAGAAATATCAACATTATCATTTTTGAAAGCTAAATCCTTCGAAGAAGGTTAAGAGATGATATTAGCATCACTGAGGTTCCGCTTGCATAATAACATCCTTAGGCTTAATAGGGTAATTCTTCCTAAGATTTGGGTGCATAATAAAACACTCATTTTTAGCATGTCCAAGGGTCTTACAATACTCACAAAATGAAGGAACATCTTCCAAAAACACTTTTTATACATAACCAAATTTATCAGGTCCAATCATAATGTTAGTTGGATAGTTTTTGGTAATATCCAACTCCACCAAGACCCGAGCAATCTAGGGCCTAATGTCATGAGCAGTGGCGTTGTCCGTTTGCAAGGGTCTGCCAAAAAGTGATCCTAACCCATGGAGGATTCTTGGCAAAAAATAAGTGAGGCCGTAGATCATGGAAAGAGATCCAAACTGGCACGATGGAGGATTCCTCATTAATGTCAAACATAGGTAACAATTTCACAAGTTTCATATAACAGTTATACACAAAGTAAGATCGATGAGCAAAAATTCTACTATAGTTCAAGTCGTTGGAAAGTTTTATAAGCACATGATGAGCATCAAGCAAAGTCATAGGGAAGCCACTGGAAAGTTTATGATTGAAAAAGAAATTTCTAATGAGATCCAATTTATGATGCCTATTAAAGAATTTACCAACCAACGAAAAGGCAAAAGGAGCCACCAATGGAAGGATTTCTTCATCGGAAATCCATAAGGCCTTCAAACCACATTGGGTAGTTGCCTTGAGATCAGGAAAGGAAGAATAGGAGATAGATCCAAACAAAGCATCTTTAAACGACCGAGATTTCGCATTTCCAGTGAGAAAACCATGATTCAAGAGCTTATTTTCCATGAAAGCAAGAAAAAAGCATAGAAAATTCGCAAAGAAGAGAAGACTTCCCTCCTGGACGAAGGTTGGAGACGGACCGAGCAAGCCGAGGAAAGTAGGAGCTGAGAAATGCCAAAGAATGGCTAGGGCAATGCCCTGGCGAACATCGGAGAAGACGAGTGCCCTTTCTTGATCAAGAGTTCTCTAGCCTAACGAGGTTCCTCAATATGATGCTATATAAAGATATCATTTAGCGTCTTTAAAATTAATAGAAATGAGAGTCTTGACTACTTGGGTTTACTTCTTCTTTTTTTTAAGATGTCCAAGCTAACTTATGTTGGTTTACAAAATTATTCAAAAAATCAATCTGGATTGATTCTAAAAGATCTTGCTTTGAGTTTGAATTATTACTGGCCAATTGGGTTGGTTCTCGAGCTCGGCTCTCTTAAATCATCATCCAATCGAATTAGGTCAAACCCTTTTTAATAAATCAAGCTCTAATTCTGCTACACAATTATTATGGTCGGATTTTATTTCATAAAAGATACAATCGAACAAATATTTCTCGGAATAAAACCAATCACACCTCGCTACTAATTTGTTAGTAAGTCTACCAGATGCTCCGACGTGATTTGTGCCATACTTTCTCTTCAATGATTGAGAAGATTATTGCGTGAAGAGTTCAAATATAGAGCTATACAGAGTGTATAAAAATCTATATACATATACTATACTGCACACATAATTGTGTGTGTATATATATATACCCACTCGGCGCGTACTAATTTTACAGCGATTGACGCATGCCATTGCTTCCCGGAGAATGACTTGAATAAAGTGCTTGGGTGAGGAGCAGGTAGAGAGAGAATACTATTTCATCTTTGGAAATTTCTCCCTTCAATTCCTTGTGGGCCTGTGATTTTCTCCAGCATCAAGGGGAAAACTTTACTTTTAAATTTGATGGATGGTCCTGCTAAATTCCAAACATGTCTTCCATTTAAATGCCAAAAGATTTTCACTGCTCCATGTCCAGTGCCCGCCTATTCTTGCTCTGAGATCTCTCAGCGAAGCTTTCGACAGCAAAACAATCGGCCCGACTCGAGATGCACATCCGATGTTTGACGAAATGCTTCCACTAGATTGCAAGTATTGCAACGCACTGATCAAGACGCACGCAGCTAAAAGGCAGCATTTTGAAGCTCTATCAGTATTCAAATGGATGCGAATAGCCAACTTTAAACCAGACCGCTTCACACTCGCTGCAGCGATCAAGGCATCAGGGGTGCTTTGCTATGGGATTTTAGGGAAAGCTATCCATGGTTTTGTAGTGAAGGCAAGCTATGCTTTTCTGTTACCTGTAGAAAAGGCATTGATGGACATGTACGCTAGGATTGGCGCTTTAGATGATTCTTTGCAAGTTTTCGAGAGCTCAGATCAGAAAGATTCTGTTTCCTGGAATGTCATGCTTGCGGGTTTTGCTCGTGCGCAGCTTTACATGGAAGCAATGAACATGCTCCATATGATGCATGTTTCAGGTGGGAAGGAGGCTAAGCTGACGGGTATAACCATAGCTATTATTCTTCCAATCTGTGCAAAATTGAAAATTTTGGAACATGGGAAGTGCATCCATGCTTACATTATAAAGAGCAATTTGGAATCTGAGACACTAGTGGGAAATGCCCTTTTATCCATGTATGCGAAATGTGGTGGAGTTGTAAATGATGCGTGGGCTGTTTTTTATATGATTTCTTGCAAGGATGTTATTTCATGGAATTCAATGATTGCTGGCTTATCTGAAAATGGTTTCTTTGACAAAGCCTTGGAATTATTTTATCAGATGGTTTCAGAGGGTGTTATTCCTACTGATGCAACAATAGCGAGTGTACTTCCTATATGCAGTATTCTGGAAAATGGATGGCTTTATGGAAAAGAGATCCATGGCTATATCCTCAGATCTAAATTGGATGAGGAAACCTCAGTTAATAACGCCCTTCTGATTCATTACTTGAAGGTTGGAGACATTGTTGGTTCTGAATATATATTCCAAAAGATGGAAAGAAGAGATCTTGTCACGTGGAACACCCTAATATCTGGTTATGCCATGAATGGGTGGGTTTCAGAAGCAATGAATTTGTTTCACAACTTACTTCAAAGTGATATGAAACCGGATGCATTTACACTCATTAGTGTTCTTCCTTGTTGTGCTCAATTGCTTGATATCAATGAAGGAAAGAAGATTCATGATTATATTCTGCAGCATCCTTCACTTGGTCAGGAGACATCCTTGGGGAATGCTCTTGTCAGCTTTTACGGGAAATGTGGTAAACTCGATGAAGCAGCCCAATGCTTTCAAGGCATATGTAAGAAAGACCTGATATCATGGAATGCAATGCTTACCGCCTGTGCGGATAATGGGCAGTGGGAGAAGCTCCTCAAGCTTCTGAAGCAAATGAATTATGTACAAATTCAACCAGACTACATCACAATTACTACTATTTTTCGAGCTTGCACTTCCCTCGGCCTTACGAAAGTTAGGGAAGCTCATGGGTACTCGTTTAGAGCAGGTTTAATCAGCCACCCAAATGTCATGAATGCAATTCTTGACGCATACACAAACTGCCATGGCATAGATGAAAAATATATTGGAAAGAACGTGCCCACTGATAATGCTATGATTTTGAATTATTTGAAACACGGCGGTCTCAAAGATGCTGAGAAGATATTCAACCAGATGCAAGAGAAAGATCTTACCACTTGGAATCTAATGCTACAAGTCTATACTCAAAATGATTGCATTGATCGAGTTTTTACCTTGTTTCATGAACTACAAAATGATGGGACAAAACCTGATATTATAAGTATTATGAGCATTCTCAGTGCTTGCTCTCGTGTATCATTTGTTCATCTTGTGAAACAATGCCATGGATACACAATCAGAGCTTCTCTTGAAGACAAACATCTTGGAGCAGCACTCTTGGATACATACTCCAAATGTGGAAGCATAACGGATGCATGCAAACAGTTTCAAATAATTCCAAATAAGGATTTGATCACATTCACTACTATGATTCAAGGCTATGCAATCCATGGAATGGCAGAAGAGGCATTACATACCTTTTCCCAAATGCTCAAGTCTAACATAAAGCCAGACCATGTCATCCTAACTTCCCTTCTGTCAGCTTGCAGCCATGCCGGGCTGATCGATCGGGGATGGGAACATTTTAATTCCATCAAGAAGGTGCATGGGATTAAACCAACGATGGAACATTATGCCTGCATGGTTGATCTTCTCTCTCGAAGGGGATGGCTGAAAGAAGCCTATGATTTCATAAATAACATGCCGTGTGAGGCCAATGCCAATGTATGGGGGTCTCTGCTGGGATCTTGCAAGATTCATGGCGAGGTAGAGATCGGGTGCCTTGCAGCAGATCACTTATTTGGTGTTGAAGGTATGAATATTGGGAATTATGTGGTGATGTCGAATATTTATGCTGCAGATGGAAGGTGGGATGGGGTTGAGCAAGTAAGAAGGATGATGAAGAACAAGGATATGAGAAAGCCAGCCGGATGCAGTTGGATTGAGATGCAGAGGAAGAATCATGTATTCATTGTCACTGATTTTTCTCATCCTCAGAGACATTTGATCTACAGTATGCTGAAAAGTCTGGACCTACATATGAAAGGCCACTCAGCCAGAGCAAATGATATTGGGATTTCCTCCTTGGTATTTAACCAAAACCTGATATTTCCTTAAAATATCATAAACGAGGCTGTTTACTAGTTTTCTCCTTTGCTTAGTCATTGCAAAAGTGACTTGGGAACTGCTCCATGATCAACATAATAGCTAACCATTCTTAGAGCTTCAAATCGCATGTGATTCAGAAAAAACTGAAGAATTTCTTTAGTTCACAAAAATGTCTAACGCCTCCTTCAAATTTTTAGCAAATGGCCAGCTCACGAGAAATCCAGTGATGGAAGCACTTTTTACCATTCTCATACCTGGCTTTTGCACTTTCCTCGTATTGATTTGGTGCCGTTGATTTAGGCTTCGTTTGGGACGGCTTTTTTACTGCTTCTTAAAGTAGTATTTTAATAAAAAAAAGAAAAAATTTTAACTAAAAAATTGCTTTAAGAAGCAGTAAATAAGCCATCTCAAACGAAGCCTTGGATTCTTTGTTGTCTCTTATCATTCTGCTGAAGGCCTTGATGGAGTTGTCTATTGGCAGTGAGGGATATCTTGCTAATTATTGCAATCAACTTCATGGGGAGCCATAATTGGTTCCTGAGCAATTTTATAGTAGATTGAAGATGATATCTGCAGTCTTATCGGATTGGAACTTGGTAATCTGGTGTCTTAATGCCTCTGTACCACTCTCTTATATTTTGACTGCTTTCTATTCTGATCTCTTGTACAAAGAACCCTGGCTTTCTTGTGCAGGGTGTTTCGGTGCAATGCCTCGATCAGTGAACAACTAACTTGGGGCTTTTAATGTATTTCTTGGTGTCAACATAAAAAGCACGCTAAGTTTTGGTAAATTTATATGCACCACATACTTTCCTTTCATCTCTTTCTTGTATGTTGACACTTAGTCTAGTTGTAAAATCCCCAAAAGACTTGGGCTTCGTTTCCCAAACGAAGCCTTAGTGAAGGTACTAGTAGTGAATGGAACCATGGATGGTATTGATGTTGCTAGTTAGGGATACATTCTTATTGTATGTAGTATTTTTGTGAACTGTTAGAACTTTTACTTGTTTTATATCTTTTGAATTATGGTTACCAGTTATTTATTGGGTTGTTTCTATTGCTTGAAGCATCCACTCATCAGTGACTTTATCACTAAATGCCATTGTTTGATCTTCCTTTAAAGATCCTCTGTAAAATAGTTAATCTTCAATTAGAGTTAGCACTCGTCTATGATATTTTGGTTTTTGAGATATTTTCTGTTCAATGTGATTAAAGTTTAAAAATTAGATTTCGGTTGCTTGTTGTAAAGGTTTTAATTTCAAAAATTTTGATAATTCAAGTGTTCAAATATTTTTTTTTTTAATTTTTCATTGATATTTTGAACACTATTTAAATTCATTAATGAAAATTATTTCTTTGTAATTTTGTAATAAAAAGATATTTAATTATTGATATTTTTTGCACCTATATCATCATGAGTCCCAATAACATTATACTATGTGTCACTTTCAACAATGGATTACATGCCTTGTTGCCAGCATGAGATCATTGTCTTTCCGATTATGATTATATTTTAAATATATTATTTTTCATGCATTATAAATATGAAATAATTTGTATAATGAGTTATCATGAATTTAAAATTTTCATCTTTTCCATAAATAACGTTGAAAATGAAAAAGAAAAAATCAGATATTCATTGTATTATTATTTTTGTAAATTTATGAACATGGAACATATTGTTCCAAAAAAATAATAGTACACTATAATCAATTTCTCTTATTACATAAGCTACCATTATAATTAATTATATAGTGGATGATTAAGTATTATACTTTTTATTATTCTTTATTAAAAAAAATCAAATTATACGTGTAATTTATTATTCAATACTATTTGCTTCTTTAGCTATGCATTGTAGGTCCCTTTTATGCAGATTTTGTATGAGTAGCTCATTGGTTTCACTTTGCTTCGCACACTGAAGCAGATACCAATAAAATATGTTTATATATTACTCTAAAGCCTAAATCCAATCTTAATATTTGGTCGAGAGTGATCATCTTATACCACCATGCTTTATCATTTTTTTAGAATATTTTTTTCGTGCTTTCTAGCATAGTTCGTCCTGATCGAGCATACCAACTCAACCAGAAATGATAGCTACCTTCGCGCTATCAGACAACGGGAGAAGAAGCTCACAGATCCCCATCAATCAGGCTAAATACAATAAGATGAATGTCTACCGTCATCAGTGAGTAGCATATCAATCATTCTAATTTAAGTTTTGTTTGTGATAATTTTCTTACTGTATTCTAAAACAGTTTTCTTGTATCAAAATTTCTTGAAAGCATTAATAGTGACTAAAAATTATCCCAAAAAAAATCTTAGTGTGACATTTACAGACATTTAGATGGACTTTGTTTTCCTTTAGCTATCAAATTTATATCTCACTAGTTTCTTTTCTTGAGTCATTGAGTACTCTCTTTGTGCAGGATATGACCCAGCCTCTGCTGTTGCAGGAGTTGGTTGCGAAGTATCTTCATGCCAATGACCGGCATTTATGCCTTTTTTTTTTTTTTTTAGGATAGCCTTTTTTGTCATATGCTTATAGGATTATTTTCTTTAATTGTATAATTAATTGAATTTAAATCAATTCAGGATGATGTGGAAGTAATTTTAGTCCGAAATCATGCTTTTTAGGCATGTAAACTGTAAAGAGGAACATAAAACATGAATTATTCAATTCAATGTTCATTTAAAAATTTCTATTTATATTGATTGTTTTGGTCGGCGTTCTTTGATTTCGTTTGGAACAGTTTTGTGGGCACTGAAAATTGGCGCCCCGGCCTCTCCACGGCCCCTTTCTTTCTTTTCGGGTTATCGATGAGAGTTTTAATGCTCAAGTTCTGAGGCAAATTTTCAAAAAGTAAATTGGGTTTTGGATAAGGCATTACCTAGATATTTTGCCTTCATTTTGGGAGAACTTTATGATATGAGTTCAATTTTTCCATAGGCACAAGCCCCTATAGTTAATTACCCCTTCTAGTAGTAAGTGAGAACTTTTGATTTAGGTTATTCGTCAATCTAATACATAGTATCTAGCATATAGTAGCAGCGTGATTTGTATTTGAAAATTCAATATTTAAAAATAGATATTTACGACCTTGCATTAAAGCGGATGATGGGAGAATAATGATAGATCTGATCAAGATCACATGGTTCATCGTCCTGAACCATCATGATCCCTGATCTACTTAGTAAGAGGAGATAGTCGATCTAACCTGATAGAAGGATCCTTGTCGGCAGCAATTGATTGCTTCGTCCAATTGTATCATGTAAACATAGGAGGAAAATTTGTTTAAGGGGACATATTTGAATTCACCTTAGCTAACAAAGAGCTTTGTGCCCTGTCGATTATATCCTATTGATTCATTACTCAAGGATTTAGCGTTGTTGGGGAACGTACAGTCTCTAATAATGACTGTAATTTAATGGTGTCATTTGGCAAGAAAATCACCCAGTTAGAGGGTCTCAATTATAATTGTTTACCATGTGTCATCATTTGACAGTGAAATCACTGGTTAGAGGATATGTGTCACGTCCTTACTGGTAGGAGCCGGTTTGATAATAAATCCTATTTCGAGCCATGTCGACCCTAATATATTCACATAGAAGGATCAAGCTTGAACTTAAGTTCATTTCTTGACTTGCACAGCATCCTCAGAAGTTACATGTGTGTATATATTATGCTCGGCAGGGCTCATGTAGATGTATGATTTTACTTGTATGTTGCGAGATAATGTTGTGTAGTAGTTGTATGTATGTAGTGCAACTGGTGTACACGACATATTTACATGTTATATGTATGTTAATACATGCATTTAAATATTGCTTGATGTTTGACATGTTGCATGTTAGCTTGCTGCAGTAGTAAATGCTTTGCATCTATAACATGATTCTATAATCATATAATGCTTTCGTATAGTGCATGATATGTTTGCATGTTAGTATAGTGCATCGTTGCTGCACAGCACATTTTACAAGTTATGTAATGTACTTGCATAATGCATTTTGTTGTTGCAGTGTATATGTGCATGATGTATTTTGCATGTTAATGCAATGTGCCGCCAGAGCGTGGTGCATTTTGCATATCAGGTAATGTATTTGCATGTTGCTTTTACATATTGCAAATATATACATGTTACAATGTATCGGTATGCATTTTAATGCATGGGGGAGGAGTGTTTTGGCAACGATCAACTATGAAAATGACCTATGTTAATAAGTATGTAGGGTTTTGTTTTGAAAATGGTTGACGCCTTCTGTCTACTTGTTTGCGTGTTATGGATCCGATAGCATTATGTTGAACTTCATTTGTTGCGCATCGACAGTGTAGTTTAGCTCACTTCATTTTCTACATGTTGCCTTTTTCTTCAGCACTTTGCTTGGGGGAGTGTATTTCAGCTTGCAAATAAGTTATACGGTGCATCAGGGGCCTCCTGTCTGTCGTTTGCAAGTAAGCTGATATCCGGTGTGACAACCTGGCTCTGCAAATTTATTGCTTCAATTTACCAGTGACCTGCATTTTTTACTACAGATTCCCTGCATTTGCTTACATGTGAATCGTAGCATTTTTTTGGATCATTTGCTACTCTATGCAGGTAAAATGTCGCGCTATGCAAGCTTTATTGAAGTAGTTTATATGTTAGTAATAAACATTCAAGAGTCACTAGCTGTCGTATAATGGTGAATTGCATTCAACATGCGTCTTCCGAACGTGTTGTTGCATTCATTGCACTCATCCTTTCTTGCCTATAAGCTGACTAATATGAGCATCAGCTGTTGTTGCTAGTATGTGAATTATATTATTTACCGAATGTGTCATATTAATGTTTGGACATCCATATCCCCTTAAATCTTATTATTCACCATTTATCATTTGCTTTGTTCATTGATGTTTAATCAAAGAAACTAGATTATTATTTGTTATTTATGTTTTTAGCTTGATCGTGCAATTATTGATTTTAATGTCTAGTTCGCTGTGATTTTATTCAAGTTACGTTCCACGTGGTTCATTCAAGTTCCCTATATTTTGTTCAAGTCAGGTCCTCTGTCATTTGAAATTTTGGAAGCCTCTTGGCGTTTCCCCCATATAAAGGAATTTTAGGGAGCTGGACCTTCGCACTACGCTAAGAAAAAGTATGTATGGTAAGTGTCGTGTGACATCGTAGTCGTAATTTTTTTTAATCCCACCACGCTAAGAAAAGCATATATGGATCTTCAAGATACCTATTTGAATTGCACGATTTTTTCATATAAGGGTACTTAAGAGTGTCCCCGTCATGCTAAGAAAAGCATGTATAGGGCATACCGGCCTTGCCGCAAGCTTCACACCGGATTCCCTCCCACCATGCTAAGAAGAGCGTATATAAGTTATTTTTCAGTGTATCGTAATGGTCAAAAGCAAGGTTTGAGGGTTTTATGAGTTTGGATACATTATACCCTTTTGAAGACGATGGCAATGGCGACAATATTAGCATTCGGGCAAATGTACAAAAATATCTCTCTTCCCCCCTTTTTTTCGAAAACTCTTTCTCCTCTTTTAAAAAAAAAAACTATATTTCTCTCTTCTTTTTTTTATTTCCTTTTTTATTTTATTTTTTTCTTTTCAATAAATAATAATAATAACAACAATAATAAAGAGGGGTAAAATGGGGTGAAGAGGTTTTAGTGGGATGTTGGTGGGCTTTAGGCTTATAATGGAATGGAGATGGGTTGGATGAAGGCTTGGAAGTGGAGATGGGATTTAGTGAACAAATAGAGAAGGGCTGGAGTCGATTTTGCTTGCGTTAAGTAAGGTCACTGCTTGTAGTGGCAGGATTGGAGTTTGGAGATGGGAGGAAGGAGTTGGTTTGTGACACATAAGAGAAGGAAGGAAGAATAGGGAGCTCGTCTTCGTTTTATGAACGTGAGCGGAGACGTGATCGTGGCGCGGGATGGGCAATTGTCGCGTGTTTAGAAACCACGTCGAATGTACAGGGAATGGGCACTATGGCAGTCGGGATCGAGCATGTATGTATATATTTTTCTATTTTCAAAATATTTTTATACTAAAATTTAGCTTAACAAAACAATAAAAAATTTGTCCCCAACAAAGCCTTTTGAAGACTATCGTTGCAATGTGTTTTGGGTATTTCCAAAGCACAGAGAATGCACAAAAATTGGGTTCTAAAAAGCAAAGTTATATCAGTTTCTTCTGCATTTCCTGTAGGACAACCTAGGAATTTTCTCACTAAAAAAAAATGAAGTTTCTCACTATTGTGTGGAGTAGATTTTTTAGTTTATAGAGGTTGTAAGTTATTCTACTTATTTCTCTTATTCAATTTTATGCATTATTTTTAAAATTATAATATCATGTTCAATCTATAACAGTTGAGATAAGTCGATGCCATACGTGTTGATGGGTATAAGAGCATAACAAATTGTTTCAAATGTAGAGGATGCATTGAACATAAACTACAATAGGATTCCATATGGAGAGTAGAAAAAATTATGATAAATTCATTTGGGGAATGTATTTTGTTAGATTACAAAAGGGCATTCAAATCACGACTAGAAGAATTTCCTAACACAAGAAATTCAAAAATAATAATAATAATGAACATTATAGATAAGTCTTCATCACTTTCAAAAGGAGATAAAAATTAAACACCAAAGGCATATCAAGAGATGTTCTTGATGAAGTACCTATAGAGCATATTAGTTTAAGTAGAATGAGTGTTTTTCATACTTGTAGAAGCTTTCTTCAAGCTATTTTAACTTGCAGAAATAATCCATTTAAGTTATTTCTACGTCAAATATTTATTTGTCTACTCATAGTCAAGGTTTAAAATTGCGTAAATAAGCCTCGATGTATTTTTCGTCCGTGAGGCGAGGCGTAAGCCTCGAGGCGATGTGAGGCGTAAGCCTCACGGACGAAGAATTGCGTAAATGAGAATTTAAGGGTTTTATCAGGTGAATAATAGTAAGATTCTATTATACAATAAAAACATCTAAATGTCAAGTGAAATTAGTGGAAAGTAAGAAAATAGATGCAATAAAATCATGTCCAAAAGTACAGAACCACAAAATAAGTCTATCAAAACTCCCAAAGTACAAATAAGAAAGAACATATTAAATCAAATCATCGCAATAACGTATTTGTCTTTTTCTTGCCCCTAACCATGTTTACTAAAGCACAAATGCAAAATAATACAGAGAAACATAAAATAATAAGCATGAATATGAAATAATATTGTCCAAGAGATAGGAATTCACATTTAAAATCCTCAAGCCCTTCCTCCTCTCCTATAGAGTCTAATGTCTCCCAATCAAAGCATGCACTCATGAAGAAACGGATTAACAATAACAACTATTAATTACTAAAGATGATGAATACAACAATATGTCGGACTGCCAGGGGTCCAAGGGGGCACTGCCCCCTTGCAGGATTCGACCTAGCGGTATTTTGAAGTTCTGCTTATTTTTAAAGTTCGTAAGTCGTTTGTATGGAAAGATATTTAGTGGTACCGAGCATGTACCTAGCGGTACTAAGAAGTGGGTATAAGGATCGGGCGTCTGCGTGCTTCCTGCGCGGCTTCGGTTGACGTCTTTAGTCAGGTAAGTGAGTCTTCGGTCGGGTAAGTGGGTATAAGGAAGAATTTAAGAGTAACCATGTTTACTAAAGCACAAATGCAAAATAAAACACATAAACATAAAATAATAAGCATGAATATGAAATAATATTGTCCAAGAGACATGAATTAACATTTAAAATCCTCAAGCCCTTCCTCCTCTCCTATAGAGTCTAATGTCTCCCAATCAAAGCATGCACTCATGAAGAAACGGATTAACAATAACAACTATTAATTACTAAAGATGATGAATACAACAATATGTCGGACTGCCAGGGGTCCAAGGGGGCACTGCCCCCTTGCGGGATTCGACCTAGCGGTATTTTGAAGTTCTGCTTATTTTTAAAGTTCGTAAGTCGTTTGTATGGAAAGATATTTAGTGGTACCGAGCATGTACCTAGCGGTACTAAGAAGTGGGTATAAGGATCGGGCGTCTGCGTGCTTCCTGCGCGGCTTCGGTTGACGTCTTTAGTCGAGTAAGTGAGTCTTCGGTCGGGTAAGTGGGTATAAGGAAGAATTTAAGAGATTTTTTTAAGTGGACCCTCATATTAGAGGCGTACGTCTCAAAGGAAATTGCACAATAACGCTAGTGAGTCGCGCCTCACTCCACTTGAGGCGTACGCCTCATGATGCCTGAGAATTGTTAGGCTTTGAGGCTATTTTGGAGCAAATTGTGCAAAGGCGCGCCTCCAGGCGCACCTTGGATTGCGCAATTTTAAACTACGCTCATAGTAGATGTTATTTCTACATCAAATGTTTTACAACCTACTTTAATAAAATCTTAATTAAAAATTTCATTTAGAAGTCTATCAACAACTTAAAAATAATTCAAGGAAATTAAATATGTAGCAATGTTAAGATAAATTAAATTCAATATTCTTTTATTATAGTTTTAATTTCTTAATGACTTAAATTTATGAAAAAAATATATATAATAAAAAAATTAAATTCAAATAAAAAAATCTCTAACAACAAATTCAAGGAAAAATAAATAAATAATACAACTAGCATAATTTAGAAGCCCAAATATAGTATTTCAAATTTAATAAATATATATCGTATCATCGTTATAGAAATGGTTAAAAATTACGAAAAATAAATAATTAAACTTAAATGCTAACTTTATTATTGCTACTAAAATTTAAAAGAACAAAAAAAAAATTAATATGCTAATTTTAAAGAAAATAAATTATGAGAGGGAGAGAGAGAGAGAGAGAGAATAAGCATATAAACTTGATATTTTAGGCAGCCTAACAAGACTTTGCCAATTAATGAGGAAGAGAGGAAGAGTTGATTGTAAACTTATGGGAATTCAAAGCCTTGAATGCTCACCCCTATGCGATTCCATTTGCCGGTAGGAGGCCGGACAAAGCCATGGTAGCCGGTTGATTTTTACTCCACTTGCTTAAAGGATGACCGATAACACCATTAGAAATTAAATGGTGACCGGACTCCAATCAAGTTGAGCCACGTGATTTATTTTCTCTCTTGTATATAGTGTCTACAAGAGAAAAAATTCAAAAAAAAAAATCCTATATGGTTTCACTTGATTGGAATATTACGCGGTTTAACTTGATTGTAATTCGACAAAAAAGTTTTTTTTTTCTTCGATTTCTTCTTTTCCGGATAAATTCCGGATAAAGTTGTATTTGGATTCTGTACGTAATAATCTCTCCCCTTGAAGGGGTGGGGGAGTCCTAAATTAAGCTTTACAAGTGATTATTTTCAAAATTTGAATAATTTTGCATCAAATATATTAAGAGTTAGATGAGTATAGAGGTGTAAACATGTCAAGCTGAATTCCAATCATCCACAGCTTAAGCTTATTAATTTATAAGGTGCTAGCTAGAATTTGAACTTAATTTTATGAGTTCAAATTGACTTACAAGACAACTTATTTATTTAAGAAAAAATTGATTATTATTTAAATAGTTGCTATAATAAAATGACTAAAAAAATAAAACTTAAAATAAAAATCACTTAAAATGTAAGAAAAAGAAATATAACTTTTAAATATTTTTACTAATTTTATACTAATCACATGAAAATTTTATATGTTTAAATGAATTTAATTTGAATATTTCTCTCACAAGGCAAGTCAAAACTCAGCTCACAAGCCATTCATCAAATAAAGCTCAAACAAACTCAAGAGTCAGGTTAACTCAATTACACCTCGGGAGGACTGTGAAACCCCTAATTAAGAAAAGCCAAACTTAAACATCAAGCCTCCTTTTGATGTAATGATTAAAATTTTATTTAAGAAGTTCCACAGTTAAACGTACTCATCCTGAAATATTTATAATATAAGTGACCTATTGGAATGTTATACGGGAAAAACTGTGAAGCTTTAGGCCAAAACAAATTATATCTCAATAGTTAAGAGTTTAGACTGTTACAATGACCATCCTTTTTTACTTGGAATGACCAATGCTAATTATTACTTGGTTTGTCTGTTTCCTTTTTATCATCAAATTGTCAGAGAATGCATTTAAGCAAAAATTAAGCAATATATGACAAAAGACAACTATTTTTTAAAAAAATATGTACATCTAAAAATATTATCAGATCAAACAACTAATCTCTACTACTAATACAAACATCATCAAAGCAACAGCGTATTAATCCAAAGAAGCCCTATTAGACCCAGAAAGCAAGAGAAAACCACCGAAAAGTCAGTCCAAACACCAAAGTTTTCAAAATGCTTTCAATTACATTGCTGGGCACCTAGAAAAGAAAACACCTGACCTCTACTGCTTTCTACTTCAGTTAAGTTTCTTCAGCGAGAAAAATCTTCCTCGGAGACTTTCCAGCGACCAGGAGATCCATCACTTTCCTCGCCACCTTTTCTGACTTTGTCAGTAATATATCGATGTTTATGTGAACGGTGGCTTCTATGTTTATCATATTTTCTTCTTTTGCTGTAATGATATCTAACCCCATCAGAATCTTTCTCTGAATCAGGATCCTCGGAAATACATTCCTCATTGAACTGATCCTTAGATCTAAAGGAATCCCAGTCTGAATTCTCCAAATGCCGATCCTTCACCTGATTTTTTTTTTGTTTCTTGTGGGATTTGGGCTCAGAATTCTCCTTCTCATCTGAATATAACAACTTGATCTTTCTCCTACTTGATGAGGATCTGTTTTCACTCTCATCTCTTCTATCATGTTCTGGCGTTTTTGAAACATATCTTCTATGCTTCTTGATCGATCCTTCAATTGCTTCCTTGGAAGTACATTCACCAGCATCATCACAGTGAGAAAAGAAGCTTTTTGAATGAAAACGCTCTTCTGATCTATGGTTCTCTGAAAGCAGCTCATTCTTATTTTCTGAAACAAGGCGTCCTCTCCTTTTAATGGATCGATCTCTTTTAGTTGAATATCTGGTTTGCTGAAGCTTCTTTGAATTCAATTCTTCTCCATCAGAACTGCTATTGTTTAAATCCATCTCTTTATAATGAAACCTTTCCGATTGATGCCTGCAACATTCAAATCACAAGTTGACCTTAAATTACCAAGTTTATATTTTGTAAAAGATGGTGGGGGTGGGGTGTTGCAAATTGTCTTTATTAGGTTTATTAGCCGCTATCAGCCATAATATGCAAGCGAAATTCAATTGAAACCGCATTTTGTGTACTGCAGAGAGAATTTAGCAAAAAAGATCTAAGCGGTTCCATTCACTTCAAGATGAGATTAACGGAAACATTGCATTCGAATGTACATGTACTTACTTTTAGAGCACTAAAATGAAGAGAAAATTTAGTAAATATATGCACTATATTGATGATAATCATTAATAACAATTGATCCAGTTTTAAAAGGCAAAAACAACAGTAGTTTTTGAATCTAAAGCTCAGTCTCACAAGTTATAATGTATCAGTGTTTTTTCCTAACTATTCAGAGTTAAGCTTTAAGAATTTCTCAACGGCATTCATTCCAGTTCAATGCTCCAGTGTGACACTACTACATGAGGTGATAACACTAATTTGCTTGTTCTTTCGCAGAACTCTTAGCCTTTCTATGTTTGGTTTCCCATCTTTGTATTAATTCTATCCACGTACCTTATCAATGCATTTTTTAACATTCCATTATACATGATCATACTTTAAGGCTTTGTTTGGGGCGGCTTTCTTGCTGCTTCTTAAAATAGTTTTTTAGTACAAAAATTTTAATTTTTAAACTAAAAAGTTATTTTAAGAAGCAGTAAAAAAGTCGTCCCAAACAAGGCCTAAGTTTGAAAAGTTATCTCCTAATTTCTATTTTCATTCTTTCATATAATACTGCCAGACTTGTCACAGCTTAGTACCACTTAACATTACAAAATACTTGAACCTAAATGTATGACTTGACATTCCAACATATTGACTAACAATTTCACATTGATTGACTAAAATTACAAACACGTAATAGATTTTGGTTAAACAAATCATAAAGCTTTTACATTCAATATTTTTAATTAAGCAAACATTTTAAGGGAATTAAAAAAAATGTACTTAGAAGGAACGTCACATGCTAATAGATTTATTTGGAGTTTGATATAGAGCGTGCTTCGCAAAATCTATTACTAATAAGTAAAACTCTAGTCAAATGGCTCATAACATTTATCTTGATTCGTTAATCCATAAAAGAAAAACTAATTTCGAGCAAACCTGTAGTTTTTGGGTTTCCTCATCCTTTCTTGTTCTCTATGCCTCTTATAATCCTCTGAATCCAATTCCTTGCCATAGCCCGACTCCACTGAAGTACCGAATAAGAAAATCATCCTCTTGATCCAGTATGTAGGAGGAGGGTTATCCCAATCAGCCCACTCATAATCTCCACCAGGATTGCGGAAGCAATGTATGAAATTGCAGGCACTTCCATGTGAGCAGGTCTGCAATCACTAATCAGTAAGATTAATGAAGGTAAAAATTGTAACATCTGATTTATGTTAACTGGAGAAAGGCAAGAAGAGCACAACACATGCAAGCATTAAATGTGTGCCCCTAGGCTCAAATAATCAAATGTAATGCAATATAGGCAATAGTGTGAACCCCATGCACCCCTTTACACAACAGATGCACAAAATTCTGAAAGTGTTTGCAGTAGCAAAAAGGTATGAAGTTAGCTTAGTAAGTGCATTAGACTTTGTTAGCAAATCTTCAACTATCTAATGCATGAAATCCTTGATCTAAAGTGGCAAACATTAAGGCTTCGTTTGGGACGACTTTCTTACTACTTCTTAAAACAGCTATTTGGTTTAAAAAAATTAATTTTTGTACTAAAAAGCTACTTTAAGAAGCAGTAACAAAGTCGTCCCAACGCGCCTAAGATAGAAGCATGGACAGGAAAAATAAGGAATGTGAAATAGAAGGTAGAAGATGGTCACACATACCTTTAGCCTTGTTTTCATGTATTCGCCACAAATGGCAACCTTCCATCTTGTCACACCAACAAATTCACAAATGATCTAATAAAAAATAAAGAAGGAAATAATCAACTCCCCAAGTGAAAATGGAAAAAGCACATCTAGAAAGAGAGAGCAATATAATCGTAAAACTGCCATATGATAAATGCAGAAATGGCAAGAACAAAATTGAATAGACAAGATTACAGGTAAAAGTGCAAAGGGCATAGAGAAATAAGATACAAACCGTGAAAGCTACACATTACATGAAGTACCTGTTTTCCACCATAATAACGAGCATTCATGGTATTGAAGGCAAGAATTGCAGACTCAAGGGATTTATAGTGCACGTATAAATTTCCTCGTAGATGATAGGAACTGTTCTTGCAAACCTAAAAAAGAAGTGAAAATATATATATTCTCATATGAGAAATGGTTCTGAAAACACCATAAACTTAACATTAACCAAACAAAAAAAAGTTGACCAACATTTATAGGATATAAGGTTTTATTTTATCTTCTTCATCCTCTGTTTTTCATTCCTTATTAAAAAAACTATGATGGAGTATCTATCCCTCAATATTCATATCTTAAAAAGACAACCATTCACCCGTAACTTGACGTCAAACAAAGCATGAATAAGCAGAAACCAATCAATTAATTTGAATAACTATCCATTGCGATGATATCTTTACTAAACAAGGACAAATCTACCTGTGAACAAGTACAGGTTTTAACCATAGTATTTTTTAAAAACACTGACACGTGTCAAAATAATAGGGAGCAACTGCAGGAAATGATGCATCAATATAAATAAGCAGGAACTCCTTGATGCAGATAGAAGTGCACTGATATCAAAAGTTGATGGAGAAAGAAGAGCTATTATACAAATTGATAGAATGTTCTAAACTGTAGTCACGTGAAGCGATATCTAGTTAACATTGACAGGGATGTTCTTAACACCAAATTTGTAGAGAATTGGATAACGAATAAGTAAAATTTTAAAGCACTCAGATGCGATAAGAATTGAGAGATGAGCTTCAAAACATCATGGAGATTGGGAGAGATTAGGTATTACAATTTCAGAATTAGGACAGAAAAAATATAGAAATTTGAGAGAGGGGAATAGAGAACAGGAGAGGGAATAATTCCAATGTAATACATATTCAAGCGCATTCTCTAATAAGTCCAAGAGAACCTTTTATAGAGAAAATAAGCCACACTTATTATGAATAAGTCCAAATTAAAAGAGAAAATATATAAAACCAAATTAGTAGACAATTTTTAAGAAAAAACATCAAGTAAAACTACTAAAATTGCAAAATAACTCTAACTAAAATCCTAAAGAGGCTTCATGACCTTCATCAATCCCCCCATGTTTGGGAGAACTCTCCTCCTAAGAGTTTAAGGAGTTGGCCAAGATGGTGCAGGTGGAACTAGCTCGTGGACACCCTTTGTTGTCATACCATTGAAGAAAAGCACAAACAGAAGCACATGCATTTGAAAATGTGCCCATGCAACGGAATATCTCTGAGCAGTAATGTAGGGCAATATATCCTTTAAAACTTCTATGGTGATGGAGGCAACAAGATCTCTAATCATCTTGTCAGGAGGGGCAATTTCATCATCTTAATGTGAGGCATGTTCTATGGTGATTTAGGTGCAGTGATACTCACTGGAAGATCTCATGGGAAACAGACACAAGCTTTTGGGGGCAGTAAGCTCAACCTCATTGGCAGCATGTTCAAGGTCATCTTCTTCCTCGAATGATCATGCAGATCCAAGATCATTCTCACAAACATTTTCAACAAGTGCTGCTAGCATTATGAAGGATCCAATGGATGCATTGATTCTTTAACCCATAGTTGAGCAAGAACTTTCTAACTTGCTTGTTCATCTTGAGCAGTCCAATATGATGGTTATTGCGGCCCATATTGACTGGAGGAAGCAAAAGAGGAAGTGAAATATTGATGGTTATTAGGCTCATCATATTGATAATTATTCTAGAATTGTTTGGGATAAGTAGAACAGGATGATTTTCACATACACCATTGTCATAAGAAAAGACATGATCTTTTCACATACACCATTGTCATAAGAAAAGACATGATCTTTATAATGATTTAAATACTTGGATTTATGACATTGATATTGGGGATCAATATATGAAGTAATTACACTTTAGGTTTGAGAATGTTAGGGACTTGAACAACGGACATAATCACATTCTAGAAGCAAGGTTTAAAAAGGTGACATCAAGAATTGAGGCGTAGGCCATGAAATAAGAAGTAAAAAAACTCATGAAATTATAAAAAATTCATAAAAAATTACAAAAATGAAATAAACCATCAACATATTTATTTATTCGATCATCATTAAGATATAAATCACAAATGTCAATATTAAATATTATTATAACACTAGTTCAAAACAAGATTCAAAGTAAAATCAATATCCACAGTGGCCTTATTCTTAATTTCATATGCTTCAGAAGAGTCCAAATATGTAATATTTCTATCATCCTCTGAGTCAGAGTGTATCTCAATGCCGCATTTAAAATCTTCTTCAATTACACTACTCTCCATATAAGCTAAATATTCAAAATATAACAACAAATTAATAACACAACAAGTAATTCCTTATCTATCTTTTGATTTTTTTGAAGCATCAATCCCACTTTGCCTTTTTTTCTATTTTAAATGATTGTGAAGTAGAAGTTGCTCCCAATTCAATTGTCCTTTCAATGTCACCATTAATATATTTATTCTCCTCATCATTAAAGGTCATTCCTTCATTTTCAACTTCAAACCTTCAACTATTTTATAGTGTTATCCATTCATCATTAGATATTTTACCATTAATGCCCAAATGATTCATTTTATCATAGCCAGTCTTTAACTATGTAATTTGATGTATTTATCTTTTAATTTTTTATTAAATATAATATAAATTAAATTATTAATATCTATTAAAGTAGAAAGTTTAAACATAAATTTTTAAATTATAATTGTAAATAAATTTAAATTTACCAGAAAAATGTAACTTGCAGAATGCCTGAGCTACTCTAGATCTAAACGTTTCATCTTCAAATGAAAATCTTTAAGATGATCGTTTGCTCTTTTATATAATCAACCTCAAGAACAAGTCTATCTACGCATGTATGTTTGCTCACTATTTTTACTTTCAATATAATAAATCTATATTGTGGCAGCTATGCTAACTTCTCAAGCATAAAATCAAGACAATAAGCAGCACATAAAGTCTAATAAGGATGCCTAGTTTTCTCCATTAATCGCCTCTTTACAGCCTTATAAATATTTGTATTATCTAAATCAACTTGAATAATTAAGCTCTCCTTATTCCTCAAAATGAATCGAATATGAACCAAGCGCAGACAAAACATAAATATCTATCATTTTAAACGAATCAAGCTTGAACACAAATAGAAAACCTCAAATCGAACTTAACCAAACTTGAACAAGCTGATAATAAATAAGCTCAAACATGAACAAGCACCCGCTCTATTTGGCTTGATTCGTTTGCAACTCTGGGGCCATCTGACATTATTGTAACTCTTACCTCAACCCACATCTTCTTTGCTTCATCAACCATCCATACAATTATTTTGACATTCTCATCTAACAAGCAAGTCTACATCTCATATATGCTGCTAGTAAGATCAAGAACTTAACCAAAATTCCAAAAAGAAGCATGCTGATACATGAAATACTCCTAACCACATTGAATGGAAAGTCATTCTTATAAAAACACATTTTAATATTTAAACATACCCTATGTATGAGCTCGTTGTAGAAGATATAGAAGAAATTTCTTAAGAGTTAATATTTTCATTTTCATCTACATTCACAACAAATCTATCTATTAGCGCCCAAATGATTCATTTTATCATAGCCAATCTTTGACAGTGTAATTTGATGTATTTATCTTTTAATTTTTTATTAAATATAATATAAATTAAATGATTAATATCTAATAAAGTAGAAAGTTTAAACACAAATTTTAAAATTATAATTGTAAATAAATTTAAATTTACCAGAAAAAATTACCTTGTTGAATGTCTGAGCTACTCTAGATCTAAACATTTCATATTCAAATGAAAATCCTTAAGATGATCGTTTGCTTTTATATAATCAACCTCAAGAACAAGTCTCTCTATGCATGCATGTTTGCTCATTATTTTTACTTTCAATATAATAAATCTATATTGTGGCAGCTATGCTAACTTCTCAAGCATAAAATCAAGGCAATAAGCAGCACATAAAGTCTAATAAAGATGTCTAGTTTTCTCCATTAATCGCCTCTCTGCAGCCTTATAAATATTTGCATTATCTAAAACAACTTGAATAATTAAGTTCTCATTGTTCCTCAAAATGAATCGAATATGAACCAAGCGCAGACAAAACATAAATATATATCATTTTAAATGAACCGAGCTTGAACACAAATAGAAAACCTCAAATCGAGTTTAACCAAACTTGAACAAGCTGATAATAAATGAGCTCAAACATGAACAAGCACCCGCTCAACTTAGCTTGATTCGTTTGCAACTCTGGGGCCATCTGACTGACATTAGTGTAACTCTTATCTCAACCCACATCTTCTTTGCTTCATCAACCATCCTTACAGTTATTTTGACATTCTCATCTAACAACCAAGTCTACAGCTCATATATGCTGCTAGTAAGATCAAGACCTTAACCAAAGAAGCATGTTGATACATGAAATGCTCCTAACCACATTGAATGGAAAGTCATTCTTATAAAAACACATTTTAATATTTAAACATACCCTATGTATGAGTTCGTTGTAGAAGATATAGAAGAAATTGCTTAAGAGTTAATATTTTCATTTTCATCTACATTCACAACAAATCTATCTATTAGCGACCCCCCCTCGAGTTCCTTCATCAGAAGAAAAGATGGCTTTCACTATGGAAATCATCTCATTGGGAACTAAAATAAGAGATTCTCAATCATCTTCTCCATATTTCTTTAAGCTATTTCTTTAGCGATGGCAACCTTATTTAAATATTCAACACATTAATTTTTCACTTCATCAAACACTTTATCACATGCTCCAACATGTACATGTGTGCAAGTCAAGTGATCCAAGTCTTTTTACACCCCCAATAATCAGCCTGTCACAAAAATCAAACATCTCAAGGATGGTCCTTCTTTGCATCTTCACCTAGAACTTCAACTTGAACATCATATTTTCAAACTGAATCTTTCATCTTACACTGCCACCAATTCTAACAAGCCAAAAAAATCAACAATAAATCCATTCAATGAAAATAATAATGAACTTATTAGTAAATTACTTGAATAATGAACCTACTGAATAGAACTTTAAACCTTAAAAATAAATTGGATTTGAGTTGCAGCTTTGAAAAGATCAAGCCTAAGATTTTATATACAAATATCAATGATAAGTTTATCAACTGCATCAACATTGCTCAATCAAATCATGTCATATGTTGATAAAAAAATTAACTATATAAGCATTAGCTCCATTACAAGTAAAAGAGTTTTATGAGATAAAATTTCATAAAAATAAATTGGACATCATAATTTAAATGAGACTAAACCCTATAAATCTCAAATTTAAGACTTAATAGAGAAAACTCAAAGATAAATTTATCAAATGCATCACTAAACTCATAATTCATTAGAAATCAAACAAATAAGCCTTTTCTTTGCTACGAAAGACAGGGGTATATCACATTTGAGTAAAACAAAATGGATTATTCATTGGAAATCAATCTGATATGCAAGGCCAAATCCATCAAAGTTTCCATAATAATCTCAGAGTTCAATGTCTAATAAGTTAAGCAAAAAAAAGTAAAACCATGGCTAGTTCATTGACCTAGGAAGTGAAGAAGACGTACATGTCCAGCCTCGTGATCTTGATCACAATCCCGATCCCGCTCAAAGCCACATTGCGTTACCACACAAGGAAGATGTATGCATGCATATGATAAAAAAGGATGAAGACAAAGGAAGAAGACGAAGCTTGCTCTCAGCATCCCAGCCTAATCCTAGTTAAGCTCTAGTGCATTGGAATGAATATATATATATATATATATATATCCTAATCTGAATGTGGCATTGCCTCAAAACACCTTGAGGCATATGCCTCGTTTGAAAAAACGTAAGCCTCACTAGAGCAATGAAGCTTAAACCTCAATGCTCTCCTTGTGTACCTCAAATTCGAGATGTGCAGCGAGGCATGTGCCTCATTTATGCTTTTTAAATCATGGCTACAAGTGAATATAAATCTTGACTAGGATAAGGATTTTGATGGTAAGATCTTCAAGATGTGTGATCATAATAGCATGCATGATCCATTTTATTGATATGGATCATAATGATAAAATGCTTAGAGATGGCTGATAGGGTTTAGAATAGTGTGTGTATGAAAATAGATGCAAAAAAATTAAGGAATTATAATAAAAATTTCAATTGCATGAGTAATATCAAAAGATCCATTTTCTAATGGAGAATCATTTGGCTATGATTAGGATCACTAAGCTTTGATACTAATTAATAGAGATATAAGTGCTTTTATATCAAAGTAGATAAAGAAAGAGGTGCTCTACTACCAATTAGTGTAGGATAAGTGTCCTAAAGGGTTGTGAAGAGAAATGGAGTCAATATTGTCCGAATGTGTCAAAGTTTTAAATACCCAATTTATAGAGAATTGAATAAGGAAATGGAACTAAAAATCACCCATTTGAATTAAGGCTGGAGGACGGGCGATGGTTAAAAGAGATTGAGATTAAGGTATCCGGAATTAGGAGACAGTATATGAAAAAGGGAATCATTCCAATGCAATTTGAATTCAAGTAGATCATCATCACAAGTTCAGGACATCCTTTTATAAGGAAAATAAGCCATCTTATTTCAAATAAGTCTAAATTTTTAGGAAAACTGCATAAACACCAAATTAATAGATAATTCTTAGGATAAACATTAAAAGAATATACAAAATAACTCCAATTTGAATTCTAAAATGGCTTAATGTCCTGTTTCACTTCTGATAAAAGGAGAGACATGTATTCAGGTGCAAGGTTCATAATTGCAAAAAACTTCACAGAAATATTGCATAATACTGAACAGCCTAAAAAATTTTCACCGAGGAAGGAAAAAGTTGTTAAAATATGAAATTATTCATAACAATGAATAGTTATGAGAAGCCATAAGCAGCCTCAATAAAATTGGAAATTGCAAGTATTTGTTGGTGGGCGTACTGGATCAGTGAACTCATATCTGTAGCTTAAACAAGGAAAAGATGTTCTTCTTTCGTATAAAGTGCATTAAAAGAATTCAACCTTCAAGGGAGTGAAACTGTAAAATTTGTCTTTCAGTATCAGTTTAAGATTGTATATATGTATGTATATGGGATAACATCTACAATATCATAAATACCAATGAATTCAAATCAGTCATAAGAACTGGTTGAAAAGCCAAAAAGAAAACAGGGAAGGCCGTTAAGAACAGCATGAGCTCGTAAAAAAGGGTAAATGTGGAAATTATATGCTATCAGGGAGATAATTAGAATCATCAACAATTCATTTATAGGTGGAAGGTCAAGAAAAAAATGATGGCAGAAGCCAAAGATTTAAAAAAAAAACATTTAGTAAAAGATTGAAGATTGAAACCCTAAAATGGACTACTGCATTACTGATATGGTCGAGACGGTAACCGATAAATTTTATAAGCTCCAGGATCAAATCTATCAACAGCATTGTGTTTACAACCATAAATTGAGAGGAATAAAAAATCATTACAAAAATAAGAGATTTGATTCAGCCAAAGTATGCCACGAATATCTCCTAACCCCCAACCACCAATAAAGAAGCATTAGCATCCCAATCGGTTCAAAGGCAATCCTATTATCCACATTATAAAATAAAATCTTACAGCAAGTTCTCATTATCAGCTGCTCTAATTGATATAAAAAGATGGGGACAAATTAATATTCCAAAAATTACATATAGAAAGAACTTTGAAAGTAAAAAAATAACCTTAAAATTAACAATTTCACCAAACTTCAAGAATTCTGTATGCACATCCTCATAAAATTCTTCATAAGAATGATCAACCTCTTCATCTGTATACTGAAACAGAAAGTATGCATTAAATTTTGATTAGCCAGAGCATACTAGTGATTTCAATCATGACTCAAATAGAAAAAACATATCATGGTGATGCAAGATGTAATATATGTATGTATTTAATAGTTAGTTGCTAATAAAACGCAAACTTTTCATCTGCAGTCTGAACCACATGTCAATTTTATCAATCAAGCCATAAAACTTTTCTCCGTTAAGGTAAGTGTATAGTTTCAATACTAAATATGTTGCTTTTTGACCAATTTCCAGCAATGTTCGTTCAATCAAAACAAGACACATTATAATTTCTTCATATTAATTTGGTCTTTTATGTCCAAGTTGCAAGCCCATTCTTCTACATGTAGAACTAATCTCAATCTGTTTTTTATTTCCCTGACACCCATATTCATGGTCAAGTGAACACCTAAACACCATTAATAGTTTTAGGTTTTATTTTGCTTGGTTTAAGGAAAAAACAATTTTTAGAACAGAAAAGTTTTAAGTTAGAACAATGAATAAATGCTAAGAAGATAAAGAGGGTTGGTAGAAAAAAAAATTTAAATATATGATGCAATTTTCGTAGGTAAGGTTTTGATAATTATCAACCAATAGTATCAGAAGAAACGACAACAATGTGTCTCTTACACCTATTATACAAATGAAAATATAACTTCTAAAATTAAAGATAGGTGTGTAATGGAAAAATGCATCCATCAAAAGCACGATGCAATTAGAGATTATCACATCAAAGGGTTGATTTTATAAAATTGCAATTTTCCAAGTTATGTTGTATGATATGAGTGCTAGGCAACAAAAAAGTTATTGATAGAAAAGTTGTGCATGACATAAATGAAAATTGCTAAGATGGATGATGGAAAAACTAGAAAAAATAAATGGAGAAATGATTTTGTTAGAATAATGATGGGATTAGCAGATACCAAAGAAAACATAATATAAAATAGACTAAAGTGATTTGAGCATGTCCAATTAAGAGTAGAAGATGCATGAAAGGTGGACAAAATTAATGTCAAGGGAGAAAAAAAAAAGAGTAGGTTGAAAGTAATATTGATAAATATTTTGAAAAAATATTCTCTCAAAATAAGTTTAGTATCGCATGCAAAATTCAATAAAGAAGAATGTGGAATAAGATTCATAAAGTTGAACCCAGTATTTGGGATAAGCTAATGATCATGTTAAGGATGGTGAATTATGATTATAGATAATCATATATAGACATATCCACCATTTAAATTATCCAATTATCTTGCTGGCATTTGTACTTATTTCTAACAAAAGGACTCCAAGTTTGCAATCTGCAGTGATAATCTTGAAGGTTTGGGGAAGGCCAATTACATCAATTCTGACTATTTCCAATTACCTTATCACCTGCATCTTCAATACTCATTTTTAACACAAGTCATCTTACTTCAAAATAAACTGTAATAGTTTAAAATAGCAACTGAATTCAAGGTATTGAAAGCACATAACCTGTAAAATATTATACTTTGCTTTAAATGAAATCTTTAAATGTTATTTTAACCATTAATAGACAAATGATGATTTCACCTTTCAAATCTCATTTCATGTGTCGCTATCGATATCCATGAAAAAGTGACATCCCAAGTAGCTAAGCAGCAAGGAATGATGACAAACATACTGGATGTTAAGAAAAAACTACAAGGAAACTAGTAGTGACATAAATTACTGAAAAGGAAAACGCCACAGATAAGACAATTCTTTAATTAGGACCAGCATTATGTATGACTTACAACAAAAAATATAATAAACAAAAATAATTGACTTAGAAAACAAAATGCATCAAAGTGATCCAGCATAGGATACAGAAGCAATATTAGTCTCCATCCTCAGCCAAGGTTGTAACTTTAAGCCACCATTTGAGTATATCTTGACATGCATTTCTGATGCTATTTTAGTTAAAGAATAGCTACAACAAAAGTAACAACTGAACCAGGAAGCAAAAGAGAATAATCTAGTAATAGAATAGCACATACAAAAAAGCAAAAGAGAGTGAACTAAAAGAATCTAAAAACTTTTCTAACAAAACACACGAAGAGGCTGCAATTAAAAACACAATATTTGGCAATATTTTAGAGATTTCCTGAGGCATAGAATGTAGAAACTTCAGGTAATTATTATTGCATGCAATTAATTAATCATAATCAAATGATGGCAATATTACCTACTAAATCACCAACGGTGGGAGCAAAAGATGAGCAACAAAAAAATACTTGAGCAATATCAATACATACAGATTAATGATAATACCAGCCAAAACCATATGATCTTCTTGTTCAGCTTAAGATGCAAGTTAATCTATCAGTTTTAAAATAGGCAGTCTACTTTTAGTACTGCCTAACCTAAGTCACATATGTGACTGTTTTTTATGCTTGTTCCCAAGCACAATGAAAATAAAATGATTTTCGACAAAATAATAAGGAAATTATGTCATATAAATGAAATTAATACATGGACTTGGGCAAAATTCATCTTTTTCAGATAAATGAGAGAATTGAAGAGACCAACTATCAGGATACTCAAAAGCCACAAGAAGCATGAGCTGACAAACCTCAAGCCCCTCATCTTGTTCACAAGTAAGACCAGGACCATTATACATGTTTTTTATGAGCAATGTGGAGGACTTCTCAGGATAAAAATGAACTCTACTGCAACGAGATCCAAAACGGCAGGCTCCAGTCTTCAAGTGGAAAGGGCAATGAGCCTTATCCTATAAATGTCCAAAAAATGTACACAAAAGAATGTCATATGAGAGAAGAACTACACCGAGCAAATTAGGAATACAAAAATTATGACAAAAAGTCACTTGGACTTATAAACCTACTTGTTCAGTACCAAAATTTGGAATCTTCTGTGCAACGCTATCAATGATTTCTTGTGCAGTAATTGTTTCACCCTGTACATATGATGCAAAAGTAGCAGATTGAGGAGGAAGAGTATTTGATGTGGGTCTGTCATCATCCTGCAATGGTTCTACCCAATTATTCAACAGTTCATTCACACCCAGAAAAAGAAAATACAACAAAACCTCTCTAGAGCTAAGCGTGCAGAAATTAAGAACAAAGTTTTGAACCTCTTTATCTGGAATTTGTTCCACAATTTTCTTTGCAACCTTAACCCTTCTTTTCTTAACAATAATCTCATTTCCTTGCCAAATGATCTCCGCCGGCCCTTCATCAACATACTCATGCTCAACATCACCTTCTGCCCCATAGTCATGTTCATTCTGTTGGTAATAACATTAAGCATGCATATCAATCGTTAGGGGTCTTTAAAACTGCTCAAGAGAATGTGATAACTGTAACAAGAACAATATTGCATTTGTTCGCATATTCATTACTTTCACAATCGGAAATCTGATTGAATAAAATAACTAAATTTCTAACTCTCTGAGATCAATTTAACAACAAAGAATGTAACATTACTTTCTCCATGTTTCAAACTGCTAGAAAATAAAGATTTTATCTTAAGCGCAAGTAAGGGCTTTGGTCACCTTCATGATTGTAATAATTATCGCGAGGAAAAAAAAAGGAATAATAATAGCGAGAAAATTCAAGATAAGAAACGAATAAGGGATGTAGAAACTAATTAAATGAAAATATGTCAAAATCAAATTCAAATCAAAGTCGTCCAAAATATGTAAAACGAACTAGGGATTATTAAAAAAAGTATAAGCAGCACAACCTTCCTCTCTTCCTCCTGAAGGAGTTTTTTCCGTCGCTCATCCTCTTCCTCACGAGACTTCCTTGCGGCGGCAGCCTCAAGCCATACCCTTTCCCGCTCCTCATACTCCCTCCTCTCCTTCTCAGCATTATCTGCCTCCTCCTGCTCCCGTAATCTGAGCAATAACTGCTCCTCCGGATCGTTTAAGAGGAATTCCGCCATCTCCCTCTCCCTAATCGCAGCTATCCTCCGAGCCTGCTTCCTTTTTAGCTTCTTCAGAACCTTACGCTTCTCCTTCCTAGACTGCTTCCCGCCGCAGACAGCGAAAGCCTCCTCTTGCGACATTTCTCCGTTAACAGGATTTGCCATCTGGAGAGGATAGATCGCGAGGGCTCAGCTAGGGGCTGTTTGGTATGCGGATTTAGGCGGAATTAAGGCCGGATTTGGGCGAAATCCAGCCAAACGGCCTAAAATGCAAATCCAAATCTCACGGCAAACGAAATCACTCATTCTCCCTCTCACGTGCGAACCCGCCTAAATTCAACGTCAGTATGCACTTCTTATCGAAAACATTTCTTTAGGCAGATTTTCTTCTCCGTCTCGCTAATTAGATTCTTCTGAAAATTTCTTCATTTAGCTTTCTATCAATCCTTATGTATTCTTCAAGATCATTCCCCCATCCCCTCCTATGACTTAATTCATCTCTTCCATTAATGTCTAAGTACATTTTCTATTTATTTTATGCACTTAAATTGTGCATTACAAAATGATAATTAGAAAATATCTTCCTCACCTTACTTTTTCTTATTCCTTTATTTAGTTTTTCGTAAGCCAATTCCACAATAAATTAAGAATAATAATTATGTGTAATTCTTTTTTTTTTCTTTTATTTGCCTTAGTTTACATTTAATACTCTCTCAGTTTTATTGTTTCATTTCATTTGTATATTTCCATATTTTTGTTATAAGCTATATTAAGTTGCAGTATTGAATCCTAACTTTGGTTTTTTTTAGATTACATTTAATAATCTTCTGTTTAAAAAAATTAAAAAAATAATAATAATAATCTTCTGTTTTATACATTTTTTTATTTTTTTCATGCTGGTACGTAATTTTATTCAATTACATTTATTTTCTTAGGTTAGAGTTGCATGTATTTATTTATGCTTAGCAATTATATATTTCTATTATTTTCACTTTAGCCATTGCTTTTTTAGCACTTTCCCTCTGATGAATTTTTAAATACGAGTTAACTTGGATGATTAATCGTAATTTCATAGTATGAATATTTTTAAAAGTTAAAATTATTCTAAAATGGTTTAAGAAAATCTCTAAACTTATTATTATTCTGATCATTATTTCATTTATTTAATGTTTATTTAGGATAGCTTCAATTTTTTATAAAGTTGACTATGAAGTTGCTATAGAGAAAACAAATTAGTTATTCTAGTTGTGAAAAAAAAAAACAAATTTTTATCGCAAAAATTTCTTAAAAATAATAAGATAGCACCAACCAAACAGAAGTGTGATCGTTGATTGAAAAGCAAACTAACAACAAAGCAATCCTAAGTAGATTCTTGGGTTTTGTTTGGGACGACTTTCTTATTGCTTCTTAAAACAGTTTTTTAGTACAAAAATTAAAATTTTATACTAAAAAACTGATTTAAGAAGCAATAAGAAAGCCGTCCCAAACGAAGCCTTAGTATACACACATTTGGAGGCATTCTCATGATTTGTTAAAATTCCTTCCTCTATAGACTAGAATTAGAACTATCCAAAATAATGTATCAAAAACATTACTTTTCTATTTTTGAGAGAAAAATTTTGACCATCCAAATGATAATTTAATAATAAGTTTATTTATAAACAATTAACTGTGACTTGGGGTTCACTATCTACTTGCATGTCATTGTAGCTACATTAGATAATATACCTTAAAGCTCATCTTTTTTCTCCATGGGTGCTTGTGCTACGAGCTGGCATAGTTTTTATGTATTGGCTTACAATCAACAATGTATCAAGAGACTCGCCAAAATGAACAACAAGACCCAATGAATGAAAGAATCCCTTTGCGAGGAGTTCGACCATCGGTAATATATCAAGAAAGAAAATTTGTTCTTAAAAAATCAGTTGTTGAAGCAAGAGGCCACCTTAAAGGGGCGAATTATTATGCCCAGTCACCGAATCGTCCGGACACCAATCCAGACGCACCATGTCACTCGGATACACTGGACTCTGGGTGTATCTGGGTGACATAGCGCGTCTGGATTGATGTCCGGACGAATCCGGACACCAGACGTAATAATTTTCCCCTTGAAGGGGATGCCAGTTGGCCATGAAAATGATCAAGAGCTCCCCAAAAGACTATGGAGTTCAACCTGAAGGAGGGTCTCAACTTGCATTTTTAATTGTAGTCGAGTCTAAGTTGTAACTTAGCTATTTATTGTGGATAGTTTAAAATGAAGTCACCTCATATGAACCTCACCTTTTGATAGGCTCGAGTCTTTGCAAGTGTAAACATGTAGTCTCATGACCTACACAACTCATTGTAGATCTTGTTCTATTATATAGCTATTTAATTTAATAAAAGAAGAGAAAAAAAAAATTGTGGATCTTATTCTAAAGAGAGCGTAGCCTTCGAGGGCTAGGTTTTTCTTTCATAGCCTGACTCATTGTTGCCATTGATGGATCTAATTTTTTGTCAAACATAAATCTTTGCACAAGTAACAATCTAAATTTGTCGGTTGGAAGGAACTAATTGCTCTCTACTTAAGTAAAAAATGAAACAAAAAGAGTTCAAAATAAAAAAAAAAACTAAAAAAAAAATAGTGAAAATAAAAATATTAGAACAAATATAAAAGTAAAAAACTAAAAAATAATAAATTTCAACATTAAAACACAAAAAAATAAAAAAGATTAAAAAAATAAAAAAAGAAATGACCGGTCATGAACTCATTGGTGTTTTTTTTTTCCTCCATTATATTTTTTTGGTTTATTCTTAATATGTCATCAAAAAATTATCTTGATCGGGCATGAATCTCGAGGCAAAAATCATGTTGGAAACTTCAAAAATTAAATTTGTGATCACCTGAACTCCGATTTCAGCAAACTTACAGTCGAACTGATTTTCTCGAAAATACAAATCTAACGACACCTAATTCAACTCGATCCGAGCCCAAATGGGTCCAAATGAAGGACCTGAAGAGCTATTGAAAAGTTTGAACCATAATTCAGTCAAACGGTTTCCAAACATGACATGCTTATATTCAAATCAAGGAGCTCGAGGAGACGAATCCAACAAGCCCAAGGTTGCCGAATTCTGATATCATTAAGACCTTCAAATGTCTGACAAACAGTTCACGGTCAAGGGATTCAATATCGATCATCCATCTAAAACACTCCACATTTTCAATTGATCCTCCCCCAATTTACGGGTCATGCCACTCTCAGAAACTATAAATAGCCCATCATTTCTCTTAAGAGGGGAAACAAGCAAGAAGAAGAAGGAAGGAAGAAGAGAAAAATAGGAGGGAAGAAACTCCTCCTCGACCACCACCGGAATTCCGCCCGACTTCCAAAGTGACGCCAAAATTCCGTCCGACCTTCAAGTGACGCTGGAGTTTCACACGAACTCCAAGTGACGTCAGATTTCTATCCAACCATCAAGTGATGCTGAAGTTCAACCCGAACTCCAAGCGACGTCAGAACTTCACCCAACCTCAAAGTGACGTCGGAATTCCACCCGACCTCCAAGTGACGCCGGAATTCTATCCGATCTCCAAATAACTTTGGAGTTTTGCCCGAATATCATCTAACAACGGAGTTCTCCTCAGTCGTCAACTGACGTCGGACTTCTACCCGACGCCGGACCTCCGCTCGTCGCCAAGTTTCTACTCGACGCCGGACTTCTGCCTATTATCGAACTTTCACCGGACATCTATCTAATGTTGTATTTATGTCAATTGCTGAATTTCTACATGACGCCATCTTTCTGACCTTCGTCGTCAGACAACGGCACTTCCGACCTCCGTCGCCCGCCGACTACGGTCTCTCTAACTTACGTCGCCCACCTACTACAATCCTTTCGACCTCCATCGCCCGCCGACTATAGTTCTTCCGACCTACTCTGTCACCCGCCGACTATGATCCTTCTGACTTACGTCGCCTACCGACTACAGTTTTTCCGACCTTCGTTGCCTGCCGACAACGATCCTTCGGACTTACGACGCCCACCGACTACAGTCATTCCGACCTCCGTCACTCGCTGACTATGATCCTTCCGACTTACATTGCCCACCGACTACAATCCTTTAGATCAAACAAACACATCAGCACTAATTCTTTGTATTCTCATTATGTAATGTACTATATAAGATATACATCAAGTTAAGGCCTTCCCCCAATGCAGGGTCTCATTTTGTAATCAACTGCAATAGTAGTAGATTCATTCAAATTGGGCTAGGTCCCGTGATTTTCCCCCCTTTTTAAGGGTTTTCCACGTAAAAATATTGATGTTTCTAATGAATAATGCACCCTCTTTTTTTATATGTGTGCTGAATTTTCGTACAACGCTAAGAAATTAAACTTTATAATTTAAATAATAAGGTCTTTAAGTTATAAATGAAGGCAGAAAGTTTCATTAATGAAGGTATAAATTGATCATTTTTAAAATACTCTCATTCTTTTTTTCTCATTTCTTATGATTCTTTTTTATCTTTATATTACATTTAGGGAAAAAATTATTTAGAATATTATGATCAAATAATTATTTAATTGATATCAAAAATTAAATTAACTATGAGATGAATGCATTTAATTTTAATTTACTCTTCCCATCCTTCTCAAAATTTGATTAATATATCCTAGAACAAATTTTTTTCTTAATTTTCTTATTCATAAATGAATTATTTACTATTAAATTATCATATATATAATAATTTAATAATAATAATAACATATTAAATAATAAATGAATTATTGACTAGATGTCAATTCATCAAAAAGTTCAATAAAATCAACTTTTGCAACATATCTTGAAAAAAATTTTACCATAATGTGCTTTAAAATTATTAAATTTATTTTAAGATGAATAATTTATATTAAAAATTCATATTACACTTATCTCAAAATAAGCTTAATAATTATAAGATCCATCATAAATAAAAACTATATGAAAATATTCAATCCAAATATTTTCTCTTTAATAATGCTTTAATATATATATCCTAAAATATTTTATATTAGAATAAAACTTTTTATATGACCAATGTTCTTAATTTCACATTCGCCGGACCACCACAGAACCTCGCCGGACCACCGCCGGACCACCGCAGAAACCTCGCCGGACCACCGCCGGATCACCGCAGGAACCTCGCCGGACCACCGCAGAACCTCGCCAGACCACCACCTTAAGGCCTGACGTCCAGTCCCTACGTCCTACTGAAGACCCGACGTCCTGCCAAAGAACCGACGTCCTGTTCAAGGCCCGACACTCGGTCCCTACGTCCTGTTCAGGGCCCGACACTCAGTCCCTACGTCCTACTGAAGACCCGACGTCTTACTTAGGACCCGACATTCAGTCCCTACGTCCTCCCAAAGACCTGACGTCTTACTTAAGTAACTGATTGTAACCTGATCACCCTTGGAGGTGATTCAGTCCTTTGTAACCAACTCAAAGTCTAGTGGAATCATTTTCAACTAGGCTAGGCCTCGTGGTTTTTCCCTTTTTAAGGGTTTTCCACGTAAAAAATCTTGTATTCTCTGTGTGTGAGCTAGTTATACGTACAACTTGAAAATTTTTCTGAAATCATTAGTACTTTGTTTTTTTTTTTTTTCACAATCAATGAATATGATATATAAAATATATTAAATAAATTTTAAAACCTTTAATTTATAATAATAAAATTAATGTTGTATATGATATTTTAAGTTATATTAACATATTTTAAGAATTTTAAAATCTATAATCAGCGGGCCATGCTGATAATTTTTTTCCATTTTTAAATTGTTGGTAGAAGATGCCGAGATGGGGATGTCTTTCACGTAATTAGGGCATCTCTAACAGAAAATTTTATTTTTAACTTAAAAATACATTATCAATCACATCAAAGAGTAACTCATTTACAACTGAATTTATTTCTAACAAAAATAAAATAAAATTCTATGTATATTTTTCTAATTTATAAACAATTTAAATATTATATAATAAAATTTTATAATTTTGTTGATTTATTCATTTACAATTTTTTTAATAACTTAACCTAAGTATCGATATGATTATACAATTTTCTCCCAAAACACATTCGCCTTCTTCGTCGGATATTAAAAGGCTTCGCTTGGGACGACTTTTTTTACTGCTTCTTGAAGCAACTTTCTAGTACAAAAATTTAAATTTTTATACCAAAAAATTGCTTCAAGAAGCAATTAAAAATAGTCCCAAACGAAGCATACTACTTCGTTTGGGACGACTTTCATAAAGCAGCTTTCTAATATAAAAAATTTAATTTTGTATTAAAAAATTGTTTTAAGAAACAACTAAAAAGTCGTCCCAAACGAAGCCTAAAAGGCTTTGTTACGGCTTCTTAAGCAGCTTTTCTATGCTCAAGAATTTATGTACTAAAAAGTTATTTTAAGAAATAATAATAATGTCGTCCTATGCTAAATTTCTGACATAATTGTTGCATCTCTATTGTCGATGGTTCTCTCCGTAGAATGCTCCCTCGAGTAGGCGAATTCATCTTCTTCATCCGTTTCATGATTTTTCAAAAAAAAAAAAAAAGGATTTTTACATACATAACACCTACAACTATTCTATTTACATACTTAACACCTAAACTATATTATTTACTTATTTACCACATAAATATCATTCTCTTCATCTAAAATAACACTCTGTTACCTCCAGTTAAAACTCCCGTCTCTCTTCGCTCGAGCAGCTCTTATGGTGTCTTCCACTCCTACATTCTTTAGGTTTGCTTTTTCATTTTCTCCATTTCTTCATTGTTGAGACCTAATTGCTTCGGACAGAGTCGCTCGCTCCGAGCTTGTCAGCCTTAGACGAAGTTGTTGCTGTCAAATTGAAAGCGATCTCGCCGGTAAGGTACGAAATTTCTCTCCTTTGTCATGCTTCTTTAGCTAGATCCACTAAGAAAGTCGATTTTTTTGTCAGTTTCGTTGTTTTTGCTAGGTGTATAAATGTGTAGCTAAATCCTCTAATAGTTAATTCAAACTCCAGCTCATCCAAAATCAAGAACACTTGGAAGTATATTATGGCAGGAATGACCCTCCTAATGTTTGTAGTAATTTGTCCGTTGTTGTGCTTTTGTTGGCGCAGAAGCCATTCATCTGATCAGAGGCAAGTGATTTCGCATGCTGCTTCGTCTGCCCTTGAAGGAGGCAACGAACCACTTCCTTCAGTCGGTGTCAACTTGAACCGGAACCTGCGACAGAGCTCCGGCAACGAAGGCGATAGGTCAATCTCGACATCCCCCACCAACATCTCCCCGATAATAACTTCCCGTAACTTCTAGTCGCCTCTAACTGCGAACGATAATAAGGAGGACGAGGTAGGAGATGGTAAGCTTAGGAGATGATAAGAGGAGTTGGAAGTGGCCAGCGATGTTGGAAATTACCAATCGGGCGACGAGAAGGATTCGATGTGGAAAGGCGACGATGACTTAGAGGGTCTCGATCGACGTAGGGGTTTTCTGGAGAAGCTATAGGGTTGGGAAAAGAGAAAGAGAGAAAATGAGAAGGGACGATGCACTCAAACATCACAGGGTTGATACCTTCTACGCACATTGCATTTAAGAAGAAAAGAATTATGAAGCTTCAACTGCTCGACGATTTCCTTCCCGCGAACGAAATGGAAGGCGATGCTAGGCGGAATTTTTGACAGGGCGTAAACAGAGTGGTATAATTAAGAAAAAGAGAGATTTTAGGTGGTATATTAGTAAATACAATATTTTGAATGTTAAGTATGTATTTTTAATATTTTTTTTTATTTTTTTTAAGTATATATTTTTAATTGTTTCAAGTGTTATGTATGTAAAACTTTTGTGAACAGCACAAAGTCAATATTCACGTCGCGAAATTGCCATTGAAATTAACATTCGAGCGGATGGCGTTAGGTGAGACATGGCCTTTGTAGCTTAATGTAATAAATATAGAAATGTGAATCAAGATATAATTTAAGCTCAATGATCTGAACTTCTCATGGGATTTGATATCAGCTCATGACAGAGGACTCTCAACAAAAAAGATTTTGGGGAATCCAAAAGTCTCACCTTGCTCCAACCACCGCCTGCTGCGGCCCAACGGCAGGCGACGTGGTGGGCGATGTTAGCGCCCGCGCTGTCGCCGGCGAGAAAGCAGGAGGAAGTGTCAACCAGATAGCCGGCAACTGCGTCGATTCCACCAGAATCGACGAATCTGAGGACATCGATGCCGTCTTCGTAGGGGGCGGGGTAGCGGTGTTCAGGTGCAAGCCGATAGTTAACAGAGGCGACGACGGCTGGGATCTTACGGGCGATGCGGCGGCAAGCTAGGTCATAGGCGCGGGTGTCGGGGGAGAGATAGGCGAATCCGCCGCCGTGGAAGAAGACGATAAGGGGTAGACGTTGAGGACGACCGTCGACGGGGAGAAAGAGGCGGAACCAAAGTTTGCGTGAGGGGTCGACCGTGAGATCGATTGTACGGACGCCGCGAACAGTGGTAGGGTTGGGAGGGGCGCGGAGGTTGAGGAAGGAGATGAGGCGGCGGTTGATTGTTCCGTCGGAGCGGCAGATGGCGTCCGTTATGGCGGAGATGAGGGAGACGGAGAGCCGAACCTTTAATGGTAGTTTGGGTTTCCGGTACTTCGCGGTCGCCGCTGATCTCGACGCATCGGCCATTCTGGAATTCTTTGACGGGGAGAACTAAAAATGTGGGAATTTTGGTGGCCGATAAAACGGGAGAAACTATTATGTCCCCAACTTATAGACGGCCAAAATAAGAAAAATTTTTCATAATTGTATATAAAAATAATATACATTAGAAACTGCAGTTATGCAGATCTATATAATTATAAGATACAAAAATTAATATTAAAAGACCTTCATGGCCCCACTTAAGAGCGGTCCATAAGCTCTGACCAACCTACCGGCAGGTCCATCCACATCTACAATTTCTGTAGCCAGTGATTATGGGCCCCACTTAAGGGCGACAGTCGCTCGAGGGATTCAAATTTGGGATGGGGGGTTCACAACCGAGCACGCCCACCAACCGAGCTCAGCCAGAGTGGATAATTAGAATAATTAGATACATAATCTCATTTATAATAGCAATTACTCAAACTGTGAAGGACGAGTTGCTCACGTACTCCCAACAAACTGATGCATTCTCATATTTGTTAATATTTATTAATTTTATGGAAGGACATCAATAGTAACATCAAACAGAATACTTGATATTCAAATTAATTCGTCCACCAACCTCGCCTTTTTTAATTAAGGATGTACATTGTCACATTGAATTAGGGGTTTTAATATTTGACAAGATGCCTAAAAATTTTAAGTTCAGATTGACTCGGAATTGGGTCGGATTCGAATCAAAGATTTCAACCCGTTTGTAAAACCGGGTCGGGTTCGAGTTTACCCAGAAACCCGAAATCAACCCGGATTGACCCAAAAACATCCCGCTTCGTCAGCATCATCGCATCAATCGGATCAATCATAATTTGAATCTGTCGTCAACCATGTCAATCAAATCTCATCGTCGTCCACACTCTAATCGCGTCACTTGAATCGCTATCCGTTGAGGCCGGAAGCCGCGTGCCGTTGCCGTTGTCCCTCCCGTTGGCGTCTGGCCGCCATCCCGCCCGCTACCGTCTGGTCACCATCCAACCTATGACAGTCGCCGCCTCTCCCTCTCCCATTGTAGCCAACGTTGTCCCGCCTATGGTTGACCCGAACTCACAACAGATTTCTGTATAGTAGAGTTACGGGTCCGGTTGACCCAAACTCGAAGCATATTGGATTCGTGACCAAAAACTAACCTGCTTACAAAAATAGGTTGTGTTATAGTTGACCCGAATAATGCTGGATCAGTTTCATGTTAGATCTGAACCCGATCCATGACCCGATTTTCACAACCCTACGCTGAATTGAATAGGATGCTATAAATTCAAATTAATTAGTCCTCAAAATGAAAAAAAAAAAAATTAAGAGTAACAATTATTTCTTAGAATATCAGTGATTTAGCAACTAATATTATTCAACCTTCAAGGGTGTGAAACTGTAAATTTTTTCTTTCAGTATCAGTTTAAGATTGCACATATGAATGTATGTGGCATAACATCCACAATATTATAAATACCAATGAATTCAAATCAGTCATAGGAAATGGTTCAAAAGCCAAAAACGAAAATAGGGAAGGCCGTTAAGCACAGCATGAGCTCGTAAAAAAGGGTAAACATGGAAATTATATGCTGTTAAGGAGATAAAGAAACAATTAGTAATAGATTGAAGATTGAAACCCTAAAATGACCTAGTGCTTCACAGATATGGTCGAGACGCTAACCAATAAATTTTATAAGCTCCAGGATCGATCAAGTCTCTCAACAGCATTGTGTTTACTATTAGCATTTAATTCATCTGTTTGCATTATATTTACTTCTTTGCCATTGTAACTCTATATATACACTCTCTGTACAACTACCTGAAGATAGTTTTTCCTTTTCTCCTCTTCAAGCTGCTACGTCTTCCGCTTTCTCTCTTTCTTAGCCTTCTCCGTTCTTGCTGTTCATCTCACATTTACAACTATAAATTGAGAAGAATAAAAATCATTACAAAAATAACAGATCCAGGATCTAGATTCTCAGCCCCCTATTCAAATTTTTCCCTCCAAATAAAGAAAAATTACAAATTTCATAAACAGCCTAGAATTCAAATTTTTCCCTCCAAACAAGTATTACTCAAGGTGTGGGGCCCAGTGGAGTGGTCGGCCCCCCTCTCTCTCCTTGCTAGGGAGAGGCAGTGGTAAACCCAGACCGGTCCACTAGGGACCGATTCAGGAAAAGCAGCAGGCCTCCTGGCCGGCGTAACAATTTGATTCAGCCAAAGTATGCCACACATATCTCCCAACCCTCAACCACCAACAAAGTAGCATTAGCATCCCATTCGGTTCAAAGGCAATCCTATCATCCACATTATAAAATTAAATCTTATAGCAAGTTCTCATTATCAGCTATTATGATTGATATAAAAAGATGGAGACAAATTTCTATTCTAGAAAGAACTTTGAAAATAAAAAAATAACCTTAAATGAAAATATATCAAAATAAATTCAAATCAAAGTCGTCCAAAATATGTAAATGAACTAGCGATTATTAAAAAAAGTATAAACAACATAACCTTCCTCTCTTCCCCCTGAAGGAGTTTTTTCCGTCGCTCATCCTCTTCTTTACGAGACTTCCTTGCGGCAGCAGCCTTAAACCATAACCTTTCTCGCTCCTCAAACTCCCTCATCTCCTTCTCAGCATTATCTGCCTCCTCCTGCTCCCGTAATCTGAGCAATAACTACTCCTCCGAATCATTTAAGATGAATTATGCCATTTCTCTCTCCCTAATTGTCGCTACCCTCCGAGCCTGCTCCCTTTTTAGCATCTTCAAAACCTTACGCTTCTCCTTCCAAGACTACTTGCTGCCGCAGGCGACGAAAGCCTCGTCTTGCGACATTTCTCCGTTAACAGGATTTGCCATCTGGAGAGGATATATCACGAGGGCTCAGCTATGGCTCATGAAATAGTCCTTGGCTGGTTAACAACACAGACCGCAAAATCCCCGTCCATTGCTCGCGTGTTTTGATCGGTGATCAAGCATATATCGTGACAGTGAGGGTTTTCGAAAAGGAATCGCTGAGATTCAACAAGAGAAGGAAGCACGCCCCTGCCAGTCGGCCGCATTTGTTCACTAGTGAAGCAAGCAGTTTTTTTATTTTTTTTGTGCTTTTAATTATTTTTATTCCATCTAAATTGCAACTTTAAATCGGTATACATTTCATTATTATTATTATTTACTAGGAACCACTTTGCAAAGCTTGGTGTAAACTCCGATCAACCTAGCAGTCAACCCACACAAATTAACTCGGGCCAACACTTAAGGTTGTCACGACCGCCCATAGGATTTGAGTCTGGGACCTGAGATTTGCTCAGCTGAGCTCCCCCCACCCATGATCTAAGTTGCGGTGGGTAAACATTTTATATATTGATATTAGTATTATAAATATCACTTATATTTTTCTCAAATTTAACCATAATCTTGTAATTAACACAAAACCTCCCAAACTAAATCTTAATTATACATCTTCCACAATCATTCATATTCTTAGCCTTGATATGATATACATTATGGAGACTCCTACAAAATCCTCACTCAATAAAATTAGAAAATGAGAGTAAAAATAGTAATATCTGATCATTCTATATAAAAATACATAATAAAGTGATAATAGCCAAAACTTAAACAAAGAGATGCTCCTCGTTAGTCATGATGAGGTCCCCTATGTGGCTATAAAAACCGCCAACAAGACCAGTAGCACTAGGCTTGCTACTTAAGATCGAGTTTGTGACACTCCCACACTACCTTAGTATCTTAGGCTAGTCACACTTGACACAGATAGGTGACTTAGATGCTCTGCTTGGTCAGCCTTTAGCTCCTTGTTGATGCCAAGCATGTCATTCCCCTTTGTGAGTTTTCATATAGTCTAGGAACTACACCTCAAGATAAATAACCTAAACATAGGCTCAACATACACTTGGGCATTTTTTCATCTAATCAGTCTATGAGGTATCCATCTCTTCTTCCTCAGGAACAATGCACTTTACACATACACACTCGACTCGGTGAATCGACTAGCATTTCTTACAAAGGCAGAATGCAAATTGTCACATCTCGAAATATAATGGAAGAATTAAAATCTTAACCTAATTATCTCATCCACAATATGAAATATACTAGAGCCACCTAGCTGCAAGTTTTCTTACTTGACTATATATATATATGTAATCCAATAATAAATAATATAGACAATCATCATACTTTCAAATAAAAAATAATTATGAACAATTAACCCAATACAAATTTATTCTATACATCAAAGCACAAAACTAGACTAATAAATACCTTACATTTGAGTTAGCTTCTAACATTCTTGACCTTATCATCCTCTACTCCATGGACATTTTCCATATATAAAATTTCATAAAACATATAAGCAAACATTCATATGCTCAATAGGCTTACTCAATTCCTATTACAGAAGTCAATGACCATTTTTGTAATAAAAAGTTTAAATAATATTTATAAAATGATAGAAAATAACTTTACAACTAGAAAAGATGAATAGAGGGATTACTTATATTTATTGGATTACTTTATCAAAAGGACAACATAGGTATGAATTTAACTTGAAAGTGCATAAGAAATAACTTTTCAAAACTTGTTATTGAATATAAACATTATAAATATTAACGTATACTTTCACTTGTAGTTTCACTTGGGTGTCATAGTGCACTTGTTCTTAGAACATCACTAGTACTTCCATAGAAGCATTAGAGTATACTTGTTAACATAATATCATTTATACTTGAGATTATTTTATTTAACATAATATGCAATATATGAATCATGATATGCATATGTCTCAATGTTTGTTTATATATTTACTTTCACTTATATCTCTTAAGGTCAACCCGCACTAGGTGAAAACGGCATAACTTGATTTCTCGTGTAACTCCACTTTCACTTATAGCTTCCTTAAAACTCTCACACTTGTATAAAGCACATGAAGCCAAAAATAATCTACCTCATATGCACTTGACAAATGGGGCTGTAAAATAGAACTATCAGAACTTTCGCCACATGAACATGAATACACATATAGAGATTAACATATTTGACATATGTACATGGACATTAAGCAGGAATATGAACATATATGTGTCGATACGTATAAAATATTTCAGAAGATAATGCACTACACACTTGATATATAATACTTGGAAGCCCGTTCATAATGAACCTTCAAAACATCATTTTAAGAGTTTTTTAATAAACTGCAAGAAATGCTAGAAATGTCATTTTTATATAAAAATATTCAATAATTCATACCAAAAAAAAAAACAATCGATAAAATTTTGATTTCTTACTATAAAAAGGACTATACTAGAACATTCTATAATATACTTGAAATGATGAAATCACAAAGTGAAAATTTTTTAAAACTCATTTAAATCACATTTTATTCCATAATGTTTAGTACAAATATCATAATTAAATAAAAATAGGGTATTGAGAGCCTACCTTGAGCAGAATAATTCTCCTAACTTGCCCAACAGATGAATATGGCACTATGGACATTGAATTTCCATCTTTTTCTCTATCACTTTGAGAAGAAAAATTGGCCTTTTTGGTCACAGACGACCAAGATGTAAATTCCATTTTGACATCTTTTCTATTACATTAAGAATATATTCGTCCTTTCTTGATGCCAGTAAATTAAACTAAAAGTCTCATCGTTTCCATCATTACACATCATTCCCTCCCTTAACATCCATTCTACCATACTAAGGGGATACTTATGATTATTTTTTATTACTTCTCTATCACATTGAAAAGACGTCTGGGCCTTATTGGTCATATGCGACCAAGATGTAAGTCATATTTTGACATCTTTTCAACCACATTAAGAATATGTTCAAGCTTATTCAATCACTTAGATTCATCTATAAGTCTCACTCCTTAGATGCCTCATCTCACATATTGGATGACATAATTTAGATCTCACTTCTTAGATTTTTTTCTATATCATATCGAGAAGATATTTGTACTTGATCCCATGCATATCCTCTATCACATTGAGGAGAAGAGCATATTTTTTTACATCTATCGCATCTTCTCTACCACATTAAGAAGATGTTTAGGATTTTTAATCACACGTGTTTGAGTTAGAAGTCCATCTCGGGCATCATCTTTGTCAAATGGAGATGATACCCTCTTTCATACATATCACTCTTAAAGGCTAGGTAGCCTTACCAGCCTTGGCAGGTACCACCATCTGGTATTATAAGTTCATCTTAGTTTGCTTCCTCATATGATAATAAAGTACAATCTCTATCTATCAGCTTAGGATTAGGTTCACATGCATGGTTTACAATTGCCCCTTAAAGGAGATAACTCATAACTGCTAATAAGAATTCACATGAATAGATTGGTATAAAGAGACTAATTGATATAATATGAAAAACCTACGGGCATAAAGTGATGACTTCTTATATGAAAGTTATTTGTGATTTGTGATATGAGACTGATTCCTAGTAATAGGGGTTGATATGGTCGAGACTGATTTATGTAGGGTTACCCTATAGGAGTGGATACATAAAAACATATTACATGTAGCCAAAAGTTTGATCTTGCTTACATATGCATATGATATAAATATACATGATAAATTGCATAAATTATATGATACAAAATGATATGAATAGGATACAAGATATTATTGATAAGACTGAAACAAAGGCATTAGATATGTATGAATTATATGATATACATAACCCATTATATTGTATACACTATACGTTGCATTTATATATGGTACAATACGAACATGATGTACATGTATTGATACTATATTACATGCATAAAACAAATATAGAAAAAGTGTTTAATATGATAGGCATACTAGTGTTTAATATGATAGACATACTGACGTACATACAATAATAGCTTATAGACTGTCTGATGGCTTTAGGAAATGAAAAAATGAATTTATTCTTTATTTGACTACTAATCATTGATCATAAGATATAAAACTTGTGTTTATTTTTATTATTCATATGAAAATACATTGTTCATTTTGACTACTACATGCTCTTACAATTGTATCCTTAAATTGGTATAAATTAAATGATTACATGCATAATGTTTATCATGTCATACATTGATTGCCGTTGTAGATTTTGGTAACTCCATAGTTTTCATATATTTTCAGGAGGGGGTTATGATCTAGTGGAGATAGGCTGATCATGATTTTTAGATTTTATTTTATTTTCTATATTTTTATTTTATTCTTTTGTAGTCTAGAAATTAGTGAGATAGAATGATGTAATGATTGAATTCCTAGCTATTATAAATATGAATTTTTAAAAATGAATGAAATTGTGAATTAAAAAAAAGACTTTGTACTTGCTTTCACTTATTTCTATTTATTTAAATAAGATTAGTGGCTATGGTAGAATAGTTAATAGTTTAAAATAAACAATTCTTTTAAAAGTAGATATTGGGGCGTCACATATTTGTCGCAGTGGAAATTTTTGGGTTATAAATGTAATCTACCTTTTATTAATCCCTAGAGGCCTATAGAGTGCATTGATCAAATATGATTAATTCTCTACTACAATGTTACAAGCTTCTTTGGAAGTTTAGAGTTCTTTGACTATGCACAAGTTGGTACTGTATTTTTTTGGGAAATTTTAGGGGGTAATGTACTCAAATCTGAATACATTCAATAAAATAGAGCAGTTCCCATAGTCACTATATTATAGTTCTTACATTTTGTTAGCTAGTTTTAGTTAATAATGATTCTTTTTACTTGGCAATCTCATGAATGAATTGCCAGACCAAAAAAATATATATTGTGGAAAGATATTTTTACTAATGTTTAAGTCTTTAAGATATAATGTACTACTATTAATAACTTACATTATGGATAAAATAATTTAAATAATAGGTTCTTTAAGTTATGAATGAAGGCAGAAAGTTTTATTAATGAAGCTTGTTGCATCCTGGAATGTTCGCAACGGTAAAGAAATATATAGTTTAACGTCATAGCATTGCGCAAAGATCCAGCACACAATCAGATAAGAGAGATGATGTAGCATTCATAAGAGACACCAGAGTTTTTACATGGAAACCCCTAAAAAGGGGGGAAAACCACGGGGCCTGGCCAAATTTGAATGAATCCACTATTATATGCAGTCGATTACAAATGAGGTCCTTCCTTAGGAGAGGGTATTGGTTTGATGCCACAAATGTACATCATATAGAGTGCATTACATGGTGGGAGTTACAATAAAAGACATGTTTGTTTGGTTAGAAGGTCTATAATCAGCACGAGACAAGGGTCCGAAAGACTATATTTGGCAAAAGATCGAGGTCAGAAAGACCATTGTCTGGTGATGGAGGTCGGAAGCTAGGACCATTGTAGGTGATGGAGGTCGGAAGGATCGTAGTCGGCAGGAGACCGGGGTCAGAAAGCATTATCTGTTGGAAGGACCATATTAGGTGATGGAGGTCGTAAGGACCGTAGTCGACAGGAGACCGGGTCAGAAAGATTGTTGTCTGGTGATGGAGGTCGGAAGGACCATAGTAGGTGATGGAGGTCGAAAAAGATCATAGTATGTGATGGAAGTCAGAAGGATCATAATTGGTAGGAGATAGAGGTCTGAAAGATCGTAGTTGATAGGAGATCGGGATCAGAAAGACTATAGTAGAAGGGCGGTACTTCGGGAGTACTCTCTGCATCAAGTGGTGGCCCGACAAAAGTCTGAGCCTCAGGTTGAAGTCCGGTAGAATTTCGGGCCTCAGGTGGCGATCCGGCAGAAGTTTGGGACTCAAGTGGTGGTCCAGCAGAACTCTGGACGTCAGGTGGTCTCTTGGTGGAGCTCGGGACCTCAAGTGGTGGTCCAGCAGAAGTCCGGACCTTAGGTGGTGGCCTGGTGTATCACAAGACCTCAAGTGGTGGTCCGGCAGAAGTACAGGCCTCAAGTGGTAGTCCGACGGAGCAACGATGTCAAGCGGTTGTCCGGCAGAGGCGAGGGCCTTAAGTGGTGGTCTGACAGAGATCAGGGCCTCAGGTGGTGTTCCATGGAGAAAAGATGTCAGGCAGTGGTCCGACGGAGGTGAGGGCCTCAAGTGGTGGTTCGGTGATGGCGAAGGCCTCAGGTGGTGGTCTGGCGGAGCAACGATGTCACGCGATGGTTCGGCGGAGGCGAGGGCCTCAAGTGGTGGTTCGACAGAGCTTAGGGCCTCATGTGGTGGTCCAACAAAGCAACGATGTCAGGCGGTGATCCGGCGGAGGTGAGGACCTCAAGTGGTGGTCCGGCGAAGGTGAGAGCCTCAAGTGGTGGTCCGGCGGAGCAATGATGTCAGGCGGTGGTCCGATAGAGGTGAGGGCCTCAAGTGGTGGTCCAGCAGAGCTCAGGGCCTCATTTGGTGGTCCGGTGGAGCAACAATGTCAGGCGGTGGTCCGGTGGAGGTGAGGGCCTCAAGTGGTCGTCCGACGAAGATGAGGGCCTTAGGTGGTGGTCCGGTGAACTCAGACGGTGGTCGAGGAGGAGCTTCTTCCTTCTATTCCTTCTTCTCTTCTTCTCTTCTTGCTTCCATCCCTTTTCAAGAGAAATGAGGGGTCTATTTATAGATTTCTAGAGTGGCATGGCCCATAAATATTTGAGAAATCAAGGTTAAATGGGCAGTGGTTGAATGGGTGGCTGATATTCAATCTCTTGATCATGTACCGTTCGTCAGACATTTGAAGGTCTTAATGATGTCGAAATTCAGCGATCTTGGGCTCGTTGGATTTTTCTCGTCGAGCCGATCGATTTGATTATAATCTCATTATGTTTGGAAACCGTTTGGCAATCCAAATTGTGCTTCAAACCTTCCAACATTGCTTCAAACCCTTGATATTGACCCGTTTGGGCCCGGATTGGGTTGAATTTGGTGTTGTTGAGTTCGTATTCTCGAGACGCTCAGTTCGACTATAAGTTTACTGAAATCGGAGTTCAGATGGTCCCAATTTTAATTTTGGAAGTTTCCAACTTGATTTTGCATCAAGATTCGTGCCCGATCAAGATAATTTTTTTACGACATATCAAAGGTATAAATTGATAATTTTTTTTAAAATACTCTCATTCTTTTTTTTGGATGATTCTTTTTTATCTTTATAGTACATAAAAATTATTTAGAATATTCTGATCAATTTTTTTATTTAATTGATATAAAAAAATTAAATTAACTATGAGATGAATGCATTTAAATTTTAATTTACTCTTCCCATCCTTCTCAAAATTTGATTAATATATCCGATGACAAAATTTTTTCTTAATTTTATTATTCATAAATTAATTATTTACTATTAAATTATCGCATATAATAATAATAATAATAACAATAATATATTAAATAATAAATGAATTATTGACTAGATGTCAATTCATCAAAAAGTCCAATAAAATCAACTTTTGCAACATATCTTGAAAAAATTTTGACCATAATGTGCTTTAAAATTATTAAATTTATTTTAAGATGAATAATTTATATTAAAAATTCATATTACACTTATCTCAAAATAAGCTTAATAATTATAAGATCCATCCTAAATAAAAACTATATGAAAATATTCAATCCAAATATTTTCTCTTTAATAATGCTTTAATATATATATCCTAAAATATTTTATATTAGAATAAAACTTTTTATATGACCAATGTTCTTAATTTCACATGTGACTTATTATCCTTTCAATAAAAATACAATAAAAATAAATTATTAAAGAATATAATTTAATTTATTAGAAATATATAATTAAACTACTAGTCACTTAACAAGATTATAAATGTTTAAAATTTTAATCATATTTATTTCATAATTTAGTTAAATTTATTTAATAATTTAATTATAGTAAAACATAACATTATTTTGTGAAAATAAAAAAATAATATAGGATATACATCATAATTTTCATCATTGCGTTTTTGCTGCACTTTTACTGTTCACAGACAAAATCAAACAGTTCTCTGTGTCTGATTTCGGCATATAATAACCTATTAAAACGATGAAGAAAATATTCTATACGAAGATCATATTATTTGAGACGAATCAGAACGTATCATATCATCTGATACACAATAACTTTGATGTGACGAGTTCTGATTCACTCAGGACGTCATAGGGACAGAATAATTTCACCTAATGAAGCTCCCCATCTCCTCGATCATCCTATCGCCGTCCGCGATGTCCGGGAAAACGTAGAAGGCATGGATGGCCTCCGGGAACTCCACGAGCCTCACCTCCCTGCCCCTCGCCTTCAATCCCTCACAGTAGCTCCGCTGCCGATCCTGAAGCGGGTCTTGCCCGCCGACCACCACCATCGCCGGCGGGAACCCTTCTTCGAGTTCCCCCGTCGCTCTCGGCCCAAAAACATTCGCCGCCTCATGGTCCCGATCAGCTCCCGGCGGCAAGAACGCCCGCCACAGCCAATCCGTCCTTTTCGTTGATACAAGCGGCGCTCTGTTGAGGCGGATCTCCGATTCCGTCCTCTCTTCCCCACCAAAATAGGGCTGGATCAAGACGATGCCTGATAGGTTCACCTGTTGCAAATTTTTCTGAAATCATTAGTACTTTGTTTTTTTTTTTTTTTTCACAATCAATGAATATGATATATAAAATATATTAAATTGATACATCATCACAAAATTAGCTTGATCAGGCACGAATCTCGAGGCAAAAACTAGTTGGAGACTTCAAAAATTAAATCCGGGAGCATCCGAACTCCGATTTCAACGATCTTACAGTCAAACTGAGCGTCTCGGAAATACGAACCCAACAACACCAAGATCGACCCAATCCGAGCCCAAATAAGTCCGAATCAAGAGTTCAAAGCGCTGTTGGAAGGTTCAAACCGCAATTTGAGTTACCAAACGGTCTCCGATTTTAACGAGCTTATACTCGAATCGAACGGCTCGACGAGACGAATCCAACGAGCCCAAGATCACTAAATTCCGACATCATTAAGGCCTCCAAATGTCCAACGAACGGTGCACGATCGTAGGATTCAATATCGGCCGTCCATTTGACCACTCCCTATTCGCCCTTGATCTCACACCTATTTACGGACCATGCCACTCCAGAAAATCTATAAATAGAGCCCTCATTCTTCACAAGAGAGCATCTAAGCAAGAGAGAGAAGAAGAGAAGAGAGGAAGAAGAGAAGGAAGGAGCTCCTCCTCGACAGCCGCCGGACCACCACAGAACCTCGCCGGACCACCGCAGGAACCTCGCCGGACCACCGCCGGACCACCACAGAACCTCGCCGGACCACCGCCGGACCACCGCAGAAACCTCGCCGGACCACCACAGAACCTCGCCGGACCACCGCAGAAACCTCGCCGGACCACCGCCGGATCACCGCAGGAACCTCGCCGGACCACCGCAGAACCTCGCCGGACCACCACCTTAAGGCCTGACGT